CTGCAGACTACCTGGTGGTTCCACTGACTACATCCCCAGGTCAGGCTCTGCAGACTACCTGGTGGTTCCACTGACTACATCCCCAGGTCAGGCTCTGCAGACTACCTGGTGGTTCTTCATCTCTTCTTCTCTCCTCTGCTGAAGCTGCTTTAACTGCACTTGGAGCTGACTCTCCACCTGCCTCTGCTTGTCCAGGACTTCTTGGTAACGTTCCTTCAACAGAGTTCTCTCTGTCATCATTTTGTCCTATTGAGAACAACAAAAGTTTTATTCCCAATTTAGCCAGGAAACCGTCAGCAGTTTTTGTTTTGAGAAGTGTCTTAGACAGCTCAGTAGCATCCGTCTTATTATGCTGCCAAAGATAGTCTTGAACTTCTGACCTCACCTGCATTGCCCATGTACAGCAACTACAGGTATGGATCACACCTAGTTTACACTGTAGGAATTGAACCCAGGGCTTCCTGCATGGACGGGCAAACTGTACCCTCAATCTATAGCTAAGATGTGGCTGCACTGTCCGATAAAATAGCTACTAGCTGCATGTGGCTATGTAACTTGAAGTTAATCAAATAGGATAAAACAGAAACACCAGGCCCTCAGGGGCCTAGCCACATTTCAAGGACTCAAAGGCCACCTGTGACTGGTGGCCACCATACCAGAGAGCCGAGACTGAGCCCATTTCCATCACTGCAGAATGTACCAGTTCTCGACACCGTGCTAAAGCAGGGTTAGCAACCCATAGCATGTGGGCCAAATGCAGCCTCTGGCGCATGACCCTTTACCAAAAAATGCTTGCCGATCTTTGAGAAAAAGAGGAAAGGGACATTTTGTTATCTGATAGGAGCAAGACAGTGAGGAAGTAAAGAACAAAGCTGGATACCCACTCACAGGATCACTGAGTTCGAAGCTAGCCCAAACCACAGTTTGTTTTATTTAAAACACATACACACACACCCCACACATATATACATACTCAGATAATTAAAAAATAAAAATTTGAGCAGGGCAGTGGTGGGGCACGCCTTTAATCCCAGCACTCAGGAGGCAGAGGCAGGTTCTCTGAGTTTAAGGCCAGCCTGTTCTACAATATGAGTCCAGGACAGCCAGAGCTACACAGAGAAACCCTATCTCGAAGAACAAACAAACAAATCAAAAAGCCTTTAAATTAAATAATTAACTAGTTAGTTAATTAACATTTGTGGCTCGGTGGTTAAGAATACTTACTACTCTTGCATAGGACACCAGTGTGGCCCCCAGCACCCACATAATCACTCATAATTATTAACTCTAGTTCTGAGGGATCTAATGTCTTCTTCTGCCCTCTTCAGGTACCAGGCACACACACAGTGCGCTTACATATATGCAAGCAAAACACTCATACAGTAAAATAAACCTAAAAAAATCTTTAAAAAGCTGAAACGAGAACCAGTGCCACAAAGTTGCCCTCTGGCTTCTACATACATGCTGTGACACATGTGGACTGTACCTACACACATATCACACACATGGTCACATACACTGATAGCAAATAAAATTAAAACATGCTTTTACAAAAGCGTTTTTGATCTATCCCTGGTATTTTGTGATAGAGCTGCATCCTTTATTTTTAATTTTTAATTTTTATTTATTTTTTTTTTAAGACAGAAGCTCTCTACACATCCCTGGCTGTTTTAAAACTCGCTATGTAGACTAGGCTCTTTTAACTTGTCTGTCTGTGAGTGTGTATGTGTGTGTGCACACATGCGTTTGTATATACAAGTGCAATATTCCTGGAGAGAGCTGTCCGATATGGGTGCTGGGAACTGTCCTCAGATCCTCTGGAGGAGCAGTACATTCTCTTAATCACTGAGCCCAAGAAGGCTAGAGATGCTGGATCCCCTGGAAATGGAGTTACCACAGCCATGAGGCATGGCGTGTGAGTGCTGGGACTAAACTCAGGCCCTTTAGAAGAGCAGTGGGCCGGTACTTTGATTGCCAAGCTGTCTTTGCAACCCAGTCCTCCCCTTCTTCCCCAAGCTCTGGGGACGGAACTCCGCCCATCAGGCATGAGTGACAAGCACTTTCACTCACTAAGTCACCTCACTGGGACAAGGGAGCTATTTTAAGAAATGAATACCCTCCACCTAAAAATTTAATTGTCTTGTTTTTGTTTTGTTCTGTTTTTTTACGATATGGCCTTTGCAACCAGGCTGATCTGGAACTCAGACTGCAGCAAAGGCTGAACTTAAACTTCTGATCCTCCTACTTCAACTTTCCAAGCATTTAGAAAGTTCTGTTGCCACCCTTGTTCAGTAATCATGCCTTTTTTTTTCTATAAAACTAAACAAACAAGCACATAACTATCATGGCAAGATCCTTTCTCAGAAAACAGATGTGGGTGGGAATTAGTTCAGCTGGTGAAGTGCATGACTGCCTTGCACAAAGCCTGGCCTCAATCCCCAGTACTGCAGAAAAGCAAACCTGAGCTCCACACCTAGAGAAGCCCTGGCATTCAGAGGAGAGGCAGAAGGACTGTTTGAGGCGAGCCTAAGCCTTGAGACCTTTTCTTCAAAATAAAAATAAATACAACTCCTCAGTGCCACTCAGTCTGGTGGCACTCACCTGTAACCTCCCAACCTGTAACTTGGGAGGCTGAAGTGGTAGTAGGATTATAGCCTCAAAGCTAGCCTGGTCTACATAGTGAGACTTCATTTAAACAACAACAAACCAACCAACTACCAAGGGACAGTAAAGAATATATCTAAGTAAGCAATGCAGACGAAAAGGAACTGCGAAGCGACAAAAGCATGACACTGTAACACGATTAGTGAGTTAAGCTTAACAAACAGTCTATAACGTAAAACCCAACGGTTCAAAGCCAGTATACTGTAACTACTTATAATCTACCCAAAATATTTTATTTGGTTTGCAGAGCTAGCTTTTTGAGACAGCATCTCATGTATCCAGGCTGGCCTCAAACGTACTACATAACTAAGGCTGGCCTTGAACTCCCGGTCTTCTTGCCTCTATCTCCTAAGTGCGAAGACTATAGGTATGTACCACCATACCCATGGGGGATCAGCTTTTAAAACAAAAACCAGTGGGGCCAGGCTTGATGCCTTTTAATCCCAGAACTTGTTAGGCAGAAGCAGGGGGAATCTCTTCAAGTTCAGGGCCAGCCTGGTCTATATAGTGAGTTCAAGGTTAGCCAGACTTACACAGTAAGACCCTAACTCAAAAATTATTAAATGAATAAAATTTAATTTTAAAAAACTTGATGAAAATGGAGCCTATCAGGATAAAAGTAACCAAGCTAAGAGGGGCTCATAATAAAAGAATACTGCTAAAACATGGAGATGCTTCATCTGCAAAGGGTTAAGCTTGAATGTTAAGAATGACCACCTTTAACCACAACCCTAGGGAGGCAGAGGCAGGCCAATCTATGTGAGCGTGAGGCCAGCCTGGCCTAAAACAGTGAGTTCCAGGTATATCAAAACTACACAGTGAGACTCTATTTCAAAAACAAAACAAAATATCTTATATTAAAAATTTCACAGCACTTGGAAGGTGAGGGCAAGAATATAAGGAGCTAAAGGTCCCCCTCCTACATTGTGAATTCAAGGCCAGCCTAGGCTACAGGAAACCCTGTTTCATGCAAAGCAGAAGACCCATGTGGAGGCTCACTCCTGTCATTACAGCCATGCCATGGAGGACTTCTGTGAGTTCAAGACTGGCCTGGCAACAGAACGAGACCTTTGTCAAACACAGAGAGTATGGACAAGATGGTGCAAACTTCCAAGCCCAGGATTCAGGAGGCAACACTCAAGGTCTGAGGCAAGCCAGAGATACATCATTTGAAAGCCTACCTCAAAATAAAGAACTGAAAACAAAAAACAGAGCATTAGGACGTAGATAGTAGTAAACAGAAAACAGGCTGGGCGGTGGTGGCGCACGCCTTTAATCCCAGCACTTGGGAGGCAGAGGCAGGCGGATTTCTGAGTTCGAGGCCAGCCTGGTCTACAGAGTCAGTTCCAGGACAGCCAGGGCTACACAGAGAAACCCTGTCTCGAAAAAAACAAGAACAAAAAACAAAAAACAAAACAAAACAAAAAAAAACAACAACAACAAAAAAACAGAAAGAAAACAGGCTGCATCCCTAAATGGAAAGGAGAGGTGGCAAGAACTCCAGAGATCCTATCTTCCTTTCAGAGCAGGACTGGCATAAGAGAGATTGCTAAAATGTATCAGACTAGGCGAGGCAGTCCAATCCCACTGTCAGGGATTTTATGGAGATTTGCGCTTTCCCTAGCCTAGATGACAATGCTTCTATATCCTGTACTCCAACAGCTTTATGTGACAATGACATTTAAGCACACACTTACCAGATTCTTTTCAATATCCTGGTCTGTGTTTACTTCTGAATCTGTGGTCTTAAAGTCAGTCTACAAAAAGAAGGAACAATCGTATTCAGGACTTTAAGTCACTTTAACACAAATAGAGTTATTCGTCTAGAAACCTGCAACAAAGAGCAAAGCAGCAACAGAGTGCTTGCAGATACTGCCATCTCTGAGGCAGTCTTTATTTACCCCACAAAACAGTCCACCATATGCCTGAGAGAAAGCAGCCTATGTACCCATAGTCCTTCCTACAACAAAGCACTCAGGCACCAGAAAGCAGCATTCATTTACTTGTTAAGATGCAGCCTAGACAAGCAACAGAGCAGAGTTGCAAAGTATGGATGCTAGCTGGGTCGGGGGTGCTCGCCTTTGTTCCCAGCACTCAGGAGGCAGAAGCAGGCAGTCTGAGAATCTGAGGTCAGTCTGGTCTACATACTGAGTTTCATGACAGCTAGGGCTACACAGAGCAACCCTGGCTTGAGAAATAAAAAACTGAGAGGAAAGAATGGAAAGGATAAACACTAAGGATCTACAGCAATCGAGTTTTCACCAAAGAGGTTACAGAGGGCGTGGTAATTCCTGCATGCTATACAACTACACACTGCCTTTCTTGTTTCTGCAACGCAGAATGAAGCCATGACATGACACTTCTGCAAACTGTGTGATGACTACTAGCAAAACATGACACCTTGCAGTTCTCCTCCCCTCCCCTCCCCCAATTCTGTTTTAGTAGTAGAAACGTGATACTTGACCTGCACAGCAATGTTCTGAGAGAGCTTCAAGGACGAGCTATCCCGATCATCATCCTGATCCACTCTGACTCCTTCAAGCCCATTTGTGGGCGGTACTACAGGTCGGAAGTCCAAGCCTGTATCCCTGCTACCTTCCTTTAGGATGGAGGCTGCTGGACATTTCTCTTCAGAGCAATTCCTGGAGGCAAGTTGTTTTGACTGGCACCCTGCCTTAAGAGACCGAGTGACTGGAAGGAGGCTCTCCTGGAGGCTCGTGTCCCCCTCCTCTCCTGCTGGGTTGGTCAAGTCTTTCACATCAGACTGAGACCCATTGCCAGAAAGACAAAGGGCCGTGGCTACCAAGTTTTCTCCTAAGACTTCCTCGTGCGCTGCTGTAGTGTCACCCACTGATGAACCAGGATCCTGCTCTGGATGTTCCAAATGGGCATCTCTGTTACTCTCCTTGGTTAACATTTGGCTACTTACACTCGGCGGAGACGAGTTCTTCTGCTTCTGGGCAGAGTCTTTGGGGCTATCCAAAAAAAAAAAAAAAAATTTCTGGGATGAGGTTGTAGCTCAGTGGTACATCACCTGACTAGCATGCCTCAGACCCAGGATTCTGTTACTAGCACCACAAAAGAAGGAATTCTTCAATCAACTTTTGAAAGATGAAATATGATACTGTTTTGAAGTCCTGGGGATCAAACTCGTGCTGGACAGTGCTCTACTAATGAGCCCCATCCCCCAACACAGCCACGAGAACAAAACTAGATGCTATAGGCCTTCTCCACAATCATAACAAACTTCTTTCTATCCAACAATTTCTAGGTATTCCAACATGGTAGGTGAGACCCCGAGAAAGTTCTGGGAGTGGCTAATAGTAAATGCTTAAAAACAAGTGACCCTCAAGATCTAAAAATAAACACCTGATGCCAACAGCTCTTGTGAATAGGAAAAAACAGCACAATGCTAGTTACAGTAGTTACATATACTAACTTATGCCTATTTTCATAAATATCTAGATTTGTTTGTTTGAGATAGGGCCTCACTGACTGGTCTTGAACTCAAAGAAATCTACCTGCCTCTAGCGCCAAGTGCTGGGATTAAAGGTGTCACCATCACACCTGGCAAAACCTTGTTTTTATTCCAACTTCATGTTCCACAAAATAATTTTACTAGTAAAGTAAGGTAGCTTATTGGGTAAGTATTTGCTGTGCAAGCCCTAATGATTTGAATTAAGTCCCTGCCCTGTAACCCACAGTGGAAAAAGAAACTCCTAAACGTTGTCCTTGGCTTACACACACACACACACACACACACACACACACACACACACACACTTACTTGAACTAAAAATAATAACTGTTCTTTAAATGCATCACATAGATCTTTGAACAAAACCACTATTTGACTTAACATTTTGACAGAGTATAACCTCAAGTAATTTAGAGTCAGATTTCACTTTTATTTCTTTGTGTTAGCATCTTGATACGTAGTCCTGGCTGAAAATGGCATTCACATGTAGCCTAGACCAGCCTCGAAACCATGGCAACCACGCTGCACCAGCATCCACGTGCTGGGGATTCTGGACATAAGCCACTATATTCAGCTTTGAAGGTAAAATTTTGAATTCATAACTGAAGTTGCCAATGGAAATTTTATTCCATATAGCAAACAAATATATATTTAACATCAGGGATGGGAATTTTGTCATTTGTCAAAGATAATGTTTAATTTCGCTTTCACCCCTAGGTCTAGGGAATGAACACTTGCACAGGCTGGGCACACACTGTTTACTAAGCCAGAACCAGTGTACTACTTGTTTTTGCTTGTCTTCTTCTTTTTTTTTCTTCTTTGAGAAAAGGTCTCACGGTGTAGCCCTGACTGGCCTGGCACTCATATTTAATAGATCAGACAGGTCTTGAACTCTTAGAAACCCATCTCCCTGTGCCTCCTGAGTGCTAACGTTAAAGGCAGGGACTCTCACAATTGGCCAATTCAGCACTTTTTCAAGGGAACCTTAAAGCATACTTAGAATGACATCTAACATTCAGAGCCAGTCTTTCGCTCACAAGTTAAGTCTATGTCATATTAGGGGCTAGAAAGATGGCTGAGTGATTAAGAACACTGGCTGCTCTTCAAGAGGACATGGGTTCAATTCCTAGCACCCTACGGCAGCTTAGAGCTGTCCTAACTCTAGTTCTAGTTTAACACCCTTACACAGACATACAGGTAAGCAAAATGCCAATGTACATCAAGGAAACAAATAGCTGAGCACGGTGACACTTGCCTTTAATCCCAGTGGACTCAGGAGGCAGAGGCAGGAGGATCTCTGTGAGTTTCAGGACAGCCTGGTCTACAGAGTAAGTTGCAGGACAGCCAGGACTACAGAGAGAAACCCTGTCTCAAAAAAATTCAAAAAATTAATAAATAAAAAATGTAAAGGTCTATATCAAATGTCTTTGCTGTCTTCCCTCCCCTGCTGCAGTGTGTACAACAGAGTCTGTCAGCTCACCCTTCACTTGGCCCAGGCCAGCACCGACACAGGCTTCAGATGAAGGGGTCTTCCCTCAGGACCACTGACTATCTGTGCTATAGAAATCTTTACAAACACACTCAGTCAGTTAGTTAGTTATTTTTTCCTAAGACAGATTTCTCTGTGTAGCCCAGGCTGTCCTAGAACTCACTCTGTAGACCAGGCTGGCCTCAAATTCACAGATCCACCTGCCTCTGACTCCCAAGTGCTGGGATTAAAGGCGTACACCACCACAGCCTGGCTAATTTCTATTTACATTTTTAGTGGGCCAGTAAGTTTAATTAGAGTTAATACAGGCATGGATGAAGGGTTATTTACAGGAGGAGAAAGGCCACTAAAACAAAATGTCTTTGCCTCCCCCAGCAAACATCCAGTGATTCTTCTTGAATGCCAACTGTGGAATGGGGAAAGGGAACTTAATTATAAACCTGGTCAAATACAATACCCAGGCTTAAATATAAACTCTACAATGTACTAGCCTCTAGACAAGTTATTCCATTTCTAAAGTAGAAATAGTACTGTCCACCTAACATAGAGATCACTCAATAACCTGCTGTTAGCTGCTTAAGTCAGACTTAATGAGTTCAAGTCCTGACTCCAACACAGTTTTGTAACTCTGGGCAAATCACCAGCCTCTCTGAGTCTGTTTCCTCACTTGTTATAGGAATATTAACCCCTGGGACTTGCATGAGGGTTGAATGTGTTAATGTGCACATAGCTGTTGGTACAGTGTTACCTATTATATTAGGTCCCAGGCAATTTAGTTCAATATTGCACATAACAATGTATTAGTCAGGCTTAAGAGGCAAAGTTAGATCATTACAACTCCTGCTCTCAAGACTTTGGAGGGAAAAGCTAAGTGTGATGTCCCACACACTTGGGAGGTGAAGACAGAAAGATTGGCCTTGGCTACATAGTGAGTTTGAGGCCAGCCTGAGCTACAAGAGACTGTCTCAAAAACAAACAACAACAAAGTCTTGAAGCCAGTGAAACAGCTCAGTGTGTGAAGGCACTAGCCTACCAAGACTAATCACCACACTTAGATTCCCCTGGACCCACATGGTGGAAGAGCCAATGCTGGCAAATTTTCTTGATCTTCACATGAAAACTGTGACATGTATGTTACACACAAACACTAAATTTAAACACCTGAGAGGCAGAATTAGATGGATCTCTGTTAAGCTCAAGGTCAGCCTGGTCTACACAGTCAGCTCCAGGTCAACCAGAACTACATAGTGAGACCCTGTCTCAAGAAGAAAAAATAAATTAAATAACTAATATAATAAAAAAAACAAATTTGGATGGAAGAAAAAAGAATAATACATCTTAAAGGCATAATATATATGAAACAGTAAGCAATAAGATATATTAACAGATATAAATATGAACAGATACACATATAATCTGTGATTATGCTTACATTGTGTACAGATACATCTACCTATATAACCATGTGTCTTGTAAGTAAGTAGATGGCTCAGTAGGTAAAGGTTTCTCGACAAAAGCCTGGTAACATGAGTTTGCCGCCTAAAACCCACATAATAGTTAAGCACCAAATCCACAAAGCTGTCCTCTTGACCTCCAAATGTACACACACCTCCCCAACCCATCACACATAATATACAATAAATAATAATTTTGTAAAGACATGAGTATAGACACACATAGTGGGTCATCCCTTTAATCCCAGTAATCAGGAAGCAGAGAGAGGTGGATTGCTCTGAGTTTGAGGTAAGCCTGGTCTACACAGTGAATTCTAGGCCAACCAGAGCTACAAAGGGTACAACTTGTCTAAAAAACGAAAGAAGAAAACGAGCAAGACACACAAAGATGGTTAAATGAACACAGAGTTGGTATAGGACAAATCAAGGAAATACATGCATTTATAATGTGTTGATACTTGTCTTAACCTAGTATGCCTTCCCAAGAATCAGTTGCCATGTAGGACACTATATAAAAATCAAGCAGTCCCTACTGTAAAAAAAAAAATAATAATAATCTGAGGGAGGGGGAAAAAACCTTAATCTGCAGAAGTGTCACTAGAGCTCCAAAGAGGAAAGAAGAGATGCTCAGAAGCCCATCCCAAAAGCCCCTTACTCAAAGAAGCTTTCTCCTCAAGAGTCTGCACATTACCTTAGGCCATCTGGGAGAGACTCGTCTGACTTGGAAGCACACAAAGCAGAAGATTCCGAAGAACCCGGGGCACCAGCCCCAAGGCCAGCTACCTCAGAGGCCGCCATCTGCACTCTGGACATTCAGAAACAAATGAAAAGACACAAGTTACAAAGCTAAAAGCTTTCCTCTACACAATGCTCACTGTGTCAGCTCCTCCAAACACCTAAGAAAGAGTATTCTGCAGGAGGGTAATAAAAAAAAGCCATTTCCTGCCCTAAGTCCCAGTCAGCAAGAGCCCTCAGGAGCTGTCATACATACGTAAATATCAGGAGTCTAAGCAAAGATTTTACTTTTGTTCTTGAGAGAAATGCAGTCATTTCAAACAGATGATAATCTGATCAGATTGTTCCAAATGGTCCATACACCTACTTTGTCTACTACCATGTATTAAAGTTGACCTTTTTAGCCCAGAATCAATACTATATTTAAATTTCTTTTGGCTGTTGCAGTCAAAGCATTCTCTATTAATTTAAGGGTTTCTGCGAGGTTGTTTCCAAGAACAAGTCATCCCGAACCATCTCTGTGGGGTGTGTCTTTTATCCTGACAGTATTCCTTTCCTACAGATTGGAATATCTGGTATCTGCCAATGCCCCACTAGCAAGTTACCATTGTGGCAAAACAGGTTACTACTTGGTTACTCCAGGAGAAAACGGAGATGCTGAAAAACATGGCAACTCAAGTCAGGGAACCCAAGAAGACGTTTTTTTACATTTTTATTTTTAAGAGCATCTTTGTTTTTTTTCTGCTGCAAAATAAACTCCGCCTTCTATGGTGAGAAGAAAAGCCCGATGGTGAAGGTAGGATTAGTAGCCATTCCTGCTTTTATTTTGACAGCATCACATGAATACCTCTGAACCCAGAAGAATGCACAAGAACAGATACCGAGTCAGGCTGAATCAATAGTCAGGCTCAGTGCCTCAGTCTCCTCTCATAATAAAACGCTCCTGAGTGAAAACGGGCCCTGAAAACGCCATTATTGCATCTCGGATGCAAACATTCTGCCTCCGATAGGGTCGAGATCGCTGCCTCCGACAGAAAACAAGGTCTGGGTCACCGATGCCCGGTAAACGAAAACCTTAGGGCAAGGGGTCATACGTGAAACACTGCAGCTAGAACCCAAAGCGAGAGGGGTGGGGGTCGCACATCTGGCTGGAGAGTCAGTCCAGTATGCCCAAGGGAATCCCACAGCCCGGGTGATGGTCACCAGCCAGGCGGCGGCGACGCAGAAGGGGACAATGGGGGGAAGCTGCGCCCGGGTGGTCACCGCCACTCTGCACCGGGAGCTGCCGCTACGCTGGCCCCAGCGCCACCTCCACCCGATCCCCTCGGTCCCCACCGGCCGCCAGCCCCCCGGTCCCACTGCCAGGCCGGGCTCCCGCCCCCGTCCCCGCCGCCCCCTCCCCGCCCCCCGCCGCGCCCCCTGCTCCCGCCGCCCCGACCCGCGCGCCGCCCCGCACACACCTCCCGCGCCGCGCCCCCGGGGAGCAAAGCGGGGGGAGGGAAGGGACGCACCTGAGCGGGCGCAGAGGGGGAGGGGACGGCCGAGCCTGGGGGAGGGGTCGAGCGCCGGCCCGCGCGCGGCACCTCCCACTTCCGGCGGCGCGAGCGCAGGGGGGCGAGGCCGGGGCGGCGAGAGGAGCGTCCCCGCGGGGTGCGCGGCCGCCACCGACGGCGCCCTCTGGCGGCAGGCACGGGCAGTACCCCGGGGCCACCGAGCCACTGAGGGACAGCCCTGAGAGCCAGCGGAGGCCGAGGGAAGGCGGGCCAGAGAGACGGCGGCCGGATGGAGGCGAGAGCTTCTCTGAGGAGTGTATGGGGTTGAGTCAAGGCTATGGCAGTCCGACGGAGGAGAGCCGCGAGAGGTGTTTAGAGGTCGGAACCGAGACGGTCCTTACAGAGGACGCCATGAAGGACGACGGCCCTCTGACGGAGGGGGGAGGTCCTGTGGCGGAGGACACGAGGACTCGGGCCGCCGGAACTCCCACAGCCCGCACGGGCCGGTGGCAGAAGCCGTCGGCGGGCGTCGGCCGAGCGCCCGCAGCTCGGCCCCGCCGGTCAAGAGGCCGCAGGCCCGGTCGCTGATTGGCTGCGGCGCCGGGCGGAAGTGATGTTGCTGTCAGTGGCGCCTCCGGCTCCCGGGAAGCCCAGAGTTCCGCAGGGTGGCGGCTGCGGCGGCGGCGGCAGCGGCTGCAGCAACAGGAGCAACGGAGGCTGTGGGTGAGTTGGGGAGTCGATGTAGGCGGGCTGGACCTCGGATATACGGGCGGCCCTGGACTAGGGCTGGTCGGCGTCTTCGGAGGAGGTGCTGCGCCGAGGGCACCTTGGGTCCTGGCGTGGGCGACCCCAGAGGGACCCGGCCTCCGGGTCGTAGGTTCCGGACAGCATTGGTCCTAATGAGAGACAAGGCGCGTTGCACACAACAGCCGAGTCCGCGGGGACTATCAGTAAACTAACTCTTTGTACGGACCCTGGTTCCTGTGAGCGGGGTGAAGGGGCTTGAAGGACACGGTGGCTTAAGAGCACAATCCTGAACAGGAAAGGTGTCTTTCTACCCTAAGGTAGATGAGGAAGTGGGAGATCTATTTTCAGAGCGTGCTTAAGATTTCTTGCCCAGAAGCCTGAGAATTAAGTGCTGCTGTGCCCCTGGGCGACAGAAACAGGCTCGGTTTCTCTTCCAGACATCTCTGTTGGAATCTACAGAGACTGTAGGAGCCTACCTGGGTGGATGACTGCTACCAAACCAGACTCTGGATTTACTTATATGCAGACTAGGGAAGGCGCCTGGATATCTTGGGACAAATCAAAGTAGCTCAGGGGCAGGAAGAATGTAAGAGGAACTATGGCAGGGAACTTAAGGGCATGGTGGCCCACACCTGTAATAATGGCAATAAAGGGGTGGAAGCAAGAGAATCATGAGTTCTCAGCCAACCTTTATTAGATAAAGAAAGTTTGTTTAAACTGGGTGTTGGTGACACACACCTTTATAATCCCAGCACTCTGAAGGCGGAAGCAGGCTGGTCTCTTGAGTTCCAGGGCACCCTGGTGAAGTGAGTGAAGTCCAGGGAGTCTTTGGTAAAAGTCTTTTCCAGAGTTTTTTTAAGTTGGCACCATCCGAGTGTATGTCTGGGTACCAAGACTGCTCCAGAGTGGGCTTGGTAGACAGTAGTGAGTTTCAAAGGCTCAGGACCCCACATGTGCCTTGCCTGCCCCCACAGTTGCTCGATAGTTCTAATTTGGTGGTTTTTTTTTTCTTTTGGGTGGTTGAAGACGGGGCTGGAGCCTGTGCCCTCACTGAAAACCCAACTTGGTGAGATAGGGATCTTCTTGCCAGTCATTTCCTCTCTCCCAGTTACCCACATGCATTTATACCTGCTGTTTCATTTTCTTTATCTGTCTTTCTACCTGATTTTCCTATCTGGACTTCGAGGGGCTGGATTGCCAGTTTCCAGGTAATGGAGGATGCTAACAGTTAGGTCTTACTAAGCCTTAAAAGAAGCAAACAAGAAGAGAATGACATGATAGGTCAAGAAGTGGTGTATCTGGGTTCTGTATTGGTATGGCCTTGTTGTGATGGATGTCTCCCAGTCTATAACCTGTTTTAGATCCCCGGAAATGATACTTAACACTGGTCACTGTTCAGGCCTAACCTTCACTGTAGCTTCTGCTTTGCTGACTTTGATGAGACATCTTTTTTTTGTTATTGTTCCTGTTCTTTGGGCCCACAGGTCTGCAGCTGTATTCCCAGTCGACGCCACTCACGGTGAAGGTGACATCTCCCTCCAGTTTCACAAAATGAGTGTGGTATGGTTACCCAGACCAGGACCTAAACTTCATAGAGGGCCCAGGTAGGAATGGGGCCCCTCAGTCGGAGACAGAGGTCAACTGGGAAAAAGACTTTTGTTGTGTCTAAATAAGAGGGAGCTAGAGTTGAGTGTGGTGGCCCATGCCTGTAATCCCAGGTAGATGCAGGTAGAGCTCTGTGAATTTGAGGTCAGCATGATGACCTACATAGTGAGTACCAGGATGGCCAGAGTTACACAATGAGATCAAGTTTTTTTTAAAAAAAAAAAAAAAAAAAGTGGTCCTGATGCTGTCAGTCACTTAGAGGAGCCTGTGGTCCTGATGCTGTCAGTCATGGAAGTGATGTGTACTTGGAGTGCCTGAGTGGACAGCCTGAAGCCCACGAGCACCTGGATGATACCAGGATACTGTGGCACCAAGGGATGGTCCATTGTGCCATAGGAGTCATCCCCCGGGGTTAGCCCTGGGTCATACTCTACCTGGGGGGTTAACACTTTGATTAGGAACGTATGTAATTGGTAGGAGAGGGAAAGACCATGAATGTCAAGTGACTAATCACTTGAATGCGGTGTGTTGGGCTTCCCAAGGGGGGCACACTGATGGACCACAGTCATTCTCTGAGATTCCTACAGTTGCTGGCTTTTTTTTTTTTCTTTTCTTATTCTTTTCCCTTTGTCTGCAGCCTGCTGTTCTGATGCCGAAAGGGAGGCAGAAAGTTCCACACTCGGATGCCCGCCTGGGCCTGCCCATCTGCCTCTGGCTGGAATTAGCTGTCTGCTTTCTGCTTCCCCAGGTCATGGGCCTATCAGAGGCAGGTGGGCTTGACACCTTGGGTGCAGGGGGGCTAAGCTGGGCCGTACATCTGGACAGCCTAGAAGGCGAGAGGAAGGAAGAGAGTCTGACACAACAGGCAGACGCTGTGGCCCAGGCAGCAGGGCTGGTGAACGCTGGGCGCATTGGAGAGCTCCAAGGCCACTACCTCCTTGTCCAGCCAGCTGGGCACAGGCAAGCCACGGAGGTGGAGGCCATGCGGCAGCAGGCAGAGGCTGTGTTAGCCAGGCATGAAGCTGTGCGCTGGCACTCAGAGCAGAAACTGCTGAAGAGGGCCAAGCGCAGCATCCACTTCAATGATCCCAAGTATCCTCAACAGTGGCACCTGGTAAGTACCGCTGAGACAGACAGGCCTGCTCTAGTGTGCCTTTGACTGAGGCTTGCTCCCACTGCCTGTACTTCACTGAAGGGGACATGTCTGTAGACATGCTCTTAGCCCATACCTTCCCTGTCTGCTGTGAAGAACAAGGCCGTGCTGAGGATGAGTGCACTCACTGCAGCTAGTCCACCTGCGCTCCAGTTCTAGCCTTCCACTTTGTAGCATGTGCCTGTGGCTGAGCCGTTTCACCTTTCTGTGCCCACCTGTAAAACGGAGGTTGTAGCAGTACATACTTCATGGAGTGACTGCTAAAACAATAGGTGTGCAAATGAAACCTTTAGAAAAGTGTCTTAATCGTGGTGGACTCTGTTATGTACAGGCTGATCGCTAACTTTACTGCGTAATAATCACCACTTCGCCCTAGCCACCACTTCGCCCTTGAGTTACCACAAGTGAGACCGAGAATCAGTCGGAGGGGCAGGACTCTCATGTGCCCGTCTGGCTCTGTTCCCCACTAACCTGTTGGTCTGTAGCCTCTGTTTGGCTCTTTGATAGAAGCCAAGGGAAGGGGTAGCTTTAACTTGTCTCTCTGGGCTGAGCTATGTTTTGGTTGATTTCTGTCTTCTACAGAATAATCGGCGGAGTCCAGGAAGAGACATCAACGTGACAGGTGTGTGGGAGCGAAATGTAACAGGCCGAGGGGTGACGGTGGTGGTGGTGGATGACGGAGTGGAGCACACCATCCAGGACATCGCACCCAACTATGTGAGTGGCCTGGAGTGAGCCCTTGCTGCCACCCTGCTCCTTCCCTTTTGTCCCCTTTCCTTAGAAGGCGCTGAGCCAAGGCAGACAGCCTGGGAGGGGTAGTGTTCCTGTCTCCTTCCTCAGTCAGCTTCCCAACTGTGCAGTTAAAGCCCAAGTCCAGAGGTCCTGAGTTCAAGTCCCAGCAACCACATAGTGGCTCACAACCATCTGTAATGAGATCTCTTTTCTGGTGTGTCTGAAGACAATGTCAGTGTACTCACATATGTAAAATAAATAAATCTTTAAAAGAAAAAAAGAAAGTCTGAAATCTTTTATCCCAGATTTCCCCCAAGCAGTGGGCACAGTCCTATACCAGACAAGAGAGAAGTCTGATTAAAACAAAACAAAAAAAATCTCTGGCCCTTGTCAGTGTCCTTGGCTCCTGTCTGATAACCCTTGTTTGCTCAAGGCAGTGGACTTTACCCTGATTTGGAGGTGGAAACTCCCAGTTCCTGTTCTCCCTGATGTTTAGGAACTGACTCCTTCAAACCAGTAAGTAACCCCTTGTTGACCCTTAAACGTTTCAGAGCCCAGAGGGAAGCTATGACCTCAACTCTAATGACCCAGATCCTATGCCCCACCCTGACGAGGAGAATGGGAACCACCATGGGACCCGGTGTGCAGGAGAGATTGCCGCTGTACCCAACAACAGCTTCTGTGCAGTAGGCGTGGCCTATGGGAGCAGAATAGCAGGTAACTCATGCTTCAGCCGTCCTTGGGAAGCTCCGGGAACACATGATCATTCTCTGCCTTCCCCATTCTGAAATTTCTTTCTCATACCCTCAGATGTCTGTAGCCTAGAGTGAGGAGTAAGAGCCTAGCAGTTAATTAACTCACTGACTTTTTCAGGGCTGTGAGGTTTCCAGTAGGCTTTTAGCAACAGTATTTAGTATACAGTATAAAACAGATAAATGTGCAGATGCTTATACTGTGGGCTGTATGGATCTCAAGCGGCACCTCCTCAAGTCTCTTTCCTGTTTGTGATCACGTCTCTGCTCACCACTGACCCACATGACTGACCCCTCCTTTGAGCTGACTGCTGTGGATCAAGTGCCTCCTCATAGTTTGTTTTCCACAACCCCACATCTATGGAGGCTGCTCTCTCACTCCCACCTCTCCAGTCCCTGCTCTCCATTCTCTTAAGAGAGCCTAGTTGTATGGCTCTTAAAAGAGGTAGCTATATGGTTCTTCATCTCCCAGTCTTGTGGCTCAATGGGAAAGGATGAGCACTCCTGAACCCTGGGAACCTAGAGCCTCAACAGGCTGGCTGTAACCCTCGTGCTTTCCAGCAGGGGGCCTCAGCACTCTGTAAATCCCCATTTAGATACCTTATCTCCACAGTGTGACCCACTCCGTTTTAGAGAAAGACTTGAGCGTCACTGGGGTAGCAAAGGGGATGAATGCCGCTTACTTAATTCCTTCATTATGTCAGTCACTAAGCTGGGTGTCTCACATGTAATGCCAAGCTAAGAGGGAAAGTCTTAAATTGCCTATATTTTAACCCAGTGCTCTCAGGATCATTAGATCTGAGTTTAAGCATGGTAGTAATAAGACACTCGAAAGCTAGGCATGGTAGTACATACCCACCTGTCCATAATCCCAGAATTTGGGATGTAGGGGCAGGAGGATCAGGGATTCAAGATCATCTTCTGCTGTGTAGTAAGTTTAAAACAAGCCTAAGCTCGCTAAGACCCTGTCTTTAAAAAAACAAACAAAAAAAGACAGACTGTAGTGGCACATGCTTTCAATCCCAGCTCTCAGGAAGCAGAAGCAGGAAGATCTCTTGAATTCAAGGCCAGCCTAGTCTATAAAGTGAGTGCTAAGAGAACCAGGACTACACGGAGAAACTCTGTCCCAAAACAAACAAACAAAAAAACATTTTTTTAAACTAATAATCTTATATATGGTATAAAATCCAGAGTACAAAAGAGAGATTTGGTGTGTAGTTCCATAAAGTGCTTGCCATGCAAGCATGAGAACCTAAATTCAATTCCTGGCACCCATGTAAAAAGCTAGAAATGATTTGATTTTCTTGTAATCCTAGTACTGGGAACACAGAGACAGATGAATCTGTGGGGCTCACTGGCCAACCAGCCTTAGTTGGTTCCCTGGGTCCCAGTGAGAGGCCCTGTGTCAAAGACAAGGGTTCTGAAGAATGCTGTCCAAGACAGACAACTTTTTGCCAACACACACACACACACACACACACAGTGTAATGCATTCATACCCCCACATATGTAGCTATGAAACTTGTGCACACACGAAAATGCAAGAGAATGTATAGATCTTCCACACATACTGCCCTACCACCTGTCACCCTACTTGGGGAGTGTGTACTATTTCTAGTTCTTATGGGAGCAGTGTCAGTGAGGAGCTGGTGTCCCTTCATTCCCTAGGTATCCGGGTGCTGGATGGACCCCTCACAGACAGTCTGGAGGCCGTGGCATTCAACAAGCACTATCAGATCAATGACATCTACAGCTGCAGGTGAGGGGGGGGGGATGCAGGTCTCTGGGACAGAGCGTTCAAAACAAGCAGAGCAGAGCAGGCTGCCTCGAGTCTCACAGGGGTTCCTTGTTAGCTCAGCTAATAAGGCCATTTTTCCTCATTTATCTAGATTCCCCAACCCCTGGGTGTTCAGTCTTAAACTTGCCACAAAAAGAGTGTTCCAACATGCCTGCATTTGTTGCGTAAACTTCTAATGCTCATAGAAGAAAGTGCACCGAGTTCAGTCCCCCTCTGCAGAGATGCACCTGAAGCTTCAGGCTGAGGGTTTAGGAGCTAGATAAGAGGGTTTTAGGGTGGATGGCCCCGTCATTGATAGAGCCTGTTCTTCCCCTAACCAGTACTTTCTTAAATTCCCTTTAATCTATTGTTATTGGAGGCGGGATGGGGGGGGTGCCAGTGCCATGGTCAGAGGTTGACCTTGTGTACTCTCTCCTTCTACCTTTATATGGGCCCCTGGGATCAAAGCGGCTGGGTTTTCATAGCCAACCCCTTTACCTACTGAGGCATCTCACTGGCCCTGCTCAACTTAAGAACCAAGAACTTTCTTGTTGTGTCTGTGTGCATGTCAGCACACATGTTTAATCTCAGTACTCAAAGGTAGAGGCAGATGGATCTCTAAATTCAAGGCCAGTCTGGTCTATATAATAAGTTCTGGGACAGCTGGGGCTACACAGAGATGCTTGTCTCAGTGACAACAAAAAAAACCTGGGCACTAGAGGGATGGCTTGGCAGCTGAGAGCACTTGATGCTCTTACAAAGGACCTGGTTTCAGTTCCCAATAACCACATGATGGCTCACAACCATCAGTCACTCCAGTTTGAGGGAATGTGAAACCTGGCCTCTTGGGGTTCTCCACACATGTTGAACTTGTACATGCATTCGGGCAAAACTCAGACACATAAAATAAATTTTAATTAATTAAAAAAAGATCCAAAAGCTTATGCAAGCTGAGCAACTTTTATCAAGCCTAGCAGTAGCTCTGTAAATGACAGGATGGCCCTGTCCCTATTCTACTATGTGTCTTCTGCTTCCCTGGGACCTGAGGAAAGGTAGACAAGATAAAGTCATTTTAAATTGGGGCATTCCCAAATAGAAGAGTCTCAGCATATACTTCCATTTTTCACTTTGGAAGAAAGTGGACCCTTGACACCATGTGTCTTTTAATCATGGGGTTCCTTGGGAGAAGAGTAAAAGCTGCAGGCAGGAGAGCAGCTCAGTGAGACAGGGAGAGCCTCGCTGGGTAGGGAGAGTGGCTCAGTGGACAGGGAGAGCCTCGCTGGGCAGCTCTAACTCAGTTCTACTCTTCCCCTTGCGTATCTCAACAGCTGGGGCCCAGATGATGATGGAAAGACAGTGGATGGGCCTCATCAGCTTGGAAAGGTATCTGCAGAGCATGAGGACTGGAAAACCTTTGGGACTCTCTTTATTTGATTTTAGAAGAACCACCAGTCAAACTCTCTTCCCATCCTACCTTCATTATAGTGCCCAGCTTACAACATTTAGCATACTTGTGCCATCCACCCTGTCAAAAAAGATTGTGTGTCTCGCTTGGAATGGGGGCCTGTGGGACACTGGTGCTCAGAAGGACTGAAGTAACTTCCAGCTTAGTTCTCTTGGGTCTCATTCTGGGTTTCTAGTCCTCACCCTGCTCAGTTATCTGATAAGCAGAACGTGTCTGTCATTCTGGTTTGGGTTTTTAGAGATACTGATTTTGATGTGCAGTGGTGTTTTTCCTGCATGTGTGACTGTGTGAAGGTGTCAGGTCCCCTGGGACTGGAGTTACAGACAGTTGTGAGCTGTCATGTGGGTTCTGAGAATTGAATCTGAGTCCTCTGGAAGAGCAGCCAGCGCTCTTAACCGCTAAGCCATCTCTCCAGCCCCCACACTGTTACTTCTTAGCCTTCCCCCCACTGTACATGTATGTCTCAGTCTCTCCCCCTGGCTTGCCCGGGGCCTCTCCCTTGTTCTTTTCTATCTAGAAGTGGGAGGAGGAGGATGGCTGCTTCACTAGGTACAGGTTTTTCTATTAGCTGCTTGACTAATAGCCTGACATTTTTGTTCTTCAGGCTGCCTTACAACATGGAGTCATGGCTGGTCGCCAAGGCTTTGGAAGTATCTTTGTGGTTGCCAGTGGAAATGGGGGCCAGCACAATGACAACTGCAACTATGACGGCTATGCCAACTCCATCTACACTGTCACCATAGGTAGTGATCTCGAGACTCCGTGGGCATGGAGTCACCGGGTGTGTTTTGTGTCTCGCTTCATTCTGCTTATCTAAATGTGTAATCAGGATCATCTCTTGAGGATCAGATAGTACTGGCCCAGCTCTCTCAAGCTCTCAGGGCTTCTCGGGGACGCATTCAGCCATCTCCTGTTTTCACTACCGTTACGACAGGCTGGAGCTCCACTTTGGTTTCTTTCTATGTCCGCTGGCTTGAAGCTGCCTCTGGCTACCCTTTAGTCTGAATTAAGAAATTCTGTCTTGCACTCCCAATTATAAAGTTCATCATTTCACTTTTTATTATTGTTTACTTGACTTCTACCTGACTATAGGCTTCTTGACATCAGCCTCATTCTGACTCCTTAGATCACAAGGAACTGTCCCCACCCCCCTCTACCACTGCACACTGTGTCCTTCCTACTCCTTCCAGGATGTAGCCTTTCCCACAGACTCTAATACCTAATATGTATGACTCACATTAGAGCTTAGTACATACTGAGAGCAGGTGACTAAGTACAGAGATGGAGGGCCCTGGATTTTGCCTGAAGTCTATGGGAAGAGTGGTATAGTGCAAGAATTCCCTCTGCCATTTGAGGCTACCTGCCCACATACAGATGAGGACTGTGGTCATTCTTTGACTCGTCCCTTCATGGTGAAGACAACTGTGGTATCAGGTGCTAGCTATAGGATCCACTCCTTATGTGAGCTCCTGTCCTGCTTGCCTGTGCCAGGAGCTGTGGACGAAGAGGGACGGATGCCTTTTTATGCCGAGGAGTGTGCCTCCATGCTGGCAGTCACCTTCAGTGGTGGAGACAAGATGCTGCGGAGTATTGTGAGCACCTCGGGGACTCTTCCCACAGGGGGTGGGGAATGGAGCGGTTTAGGACAAGGGCTCACTCTGTAGCCCAGCCAGGCTTGGAACTCATAATGTGGTCCAAAGTGGCCTTGAGTTTACTAGCCATTTTCCTGCCTTGGCTTCCCTTGTGTTGAGATACAGACGGGATGTGCCACACCTGATAGAACAATTCTCTTTCTCACTTCAGTCTTTGAGAAAGGGTCGTATAACCTAGCCTGGCCTTCAGTTCACTGTGTAGCTGAGGATTTCCTTGAATTCCTGATCTCCCTGCATTAGTGGTCGCCATCTTAAACTTTTTAACTTGCTTTAGGACACCTGTGGTAGAATTTGGGCTCTTACAACTTCCTGTGTGCTGTTCAGTCCTTTTATAAATATTGACTGCTATGTTCACCTTAGGAATAATGGCAGTGCTTGTCTCAGGGATGTACAAGACAGGAAGTTAGACCTGACTCTGTCCCTCCTTAGACCTCTGATTCAAGCCAAAGCCTAAGAATGCAGTAGGGGAACGGAGAACTCCCTTAGTCCACACAACCCTTGAAGGACTCAGGGACATCTGCTGGGCTCCAGCCCAGCCTACATAAGTCAAGTGTCTGGACCAGAGTCCCAGAGCACCCTGGATGTCCCTTTTGCCACCAACAGTGTCAAGTAAGAATAGAATGCTCCAGGCCAGAACTGGGCAGGAGCCAGATACTTGTCCGTGTTTGCCAGTAGCCAGTTGGGTTGTCCCTGAGGTTACTAGGAATTAAGTAGCTTCATCTTCGCACAGGGTCAAGTTCACCTTACAAAACCAACTTGTTATGTCAGTAAATGACTTCTGGTCAACACAATGTTCCGAGGCTCTGTGCCAGTTGACCCTCGCCCCAGGGAGAGGAGAGAAGGGGATAGACTAAAGTGAAAAACAAGACGCTTGCAGGTGACCTGGGGCACTACTAGCCTATGTTAGAAGAACAAGTGTCTGCCCCTTACCACCTGGTAGAGTTGTGCGACCCTCTCATCCTGTCCCCTGCAAGGGACCTGAGAAGGCCCCGTAGCGGAATCATCTCTGTTGCTCTACACAGCCTAGCTTTGCCACTCCCAACTCAGCTCGGTTTCTCACCCTCACCCCACCTTCCATCTGAACTATAATTTGTCCAGATTTGTAAAGGGAGTTTATTCAGCCAAGTTCCCATCTTTGGAATGCCCTTGCCTTGGCAACCTCCTGTTGTGTGACCGGGCAGCTGCATGGAGCTGTCTCTGAGGATAAGGGCCAGGGGAATAGGCTTCCCACCATCTGGCTTCTTGCCCAGGGAGCTTCCCTAGACTTTCCTAGCACTGCGTGATGTTCTTGCCGTTATGGGCAAGTCCGCAGACTTTGCATCTGTACTCTAGGCTATCACTGTGTGAAGCTGTTTCCTTAACAGGAGAAAATCAATCTGTTCCCTGCCACCAATCAGGCTTCCTTTCTGGTTGAGACTACAATGTGGAGTGTTTTTCCCTTTCCTTTGGGAGATCACAGTGTCTGGGTGAAAATTACATCTCTTGGCAGCTACAGTAGCAGCTGGGGTGGGGTGGGGTGGGGTGGGGGAGGCAGTGGAGAAAGGTAGCTCGGCGAAAGTTGGCACCTTGGTGTCTGACCCTGGAGAGAAGTTTGAAAGGAAAAAGTACTAGGCTGCACTGGCTTTGTGATGGGGAGAAGGTTTAACAGGGCTTGCCCAGCTAAACTTTTTGATACACTTTTGTTGATGGGGCATGACCTTGATGCCAAACAGATACCGTCTTCTCCCAGTTTTCCTGTCTCCTCTGAGAGACATGAGTAGGAGAGAGGAGCTCACAGAAACCCAACCAGAGCAGGACAGCGGCTTGTCCAGTGGCCAGTAGTGCATGGCAGACAGACAGACAGACCATGTAGATACTGAGAGGGCAGTAGGCTTCAAGCGAAGGCTGTTTAATCTTAGGGAACTTGCACCCTGAGTTGCCACAGTTTCTCCCCCAGCTCCAGCCGGAGCCCAGTAGAGCTGTAGCCCCTTCTCTGGCTAGCTGCGTTTCAAGAGTTGGGGTATAGAGTCTAGGAGTGAAATGATAAAAGGAAACAAGGAAAAAATGAGAGGAGCAAGAATCAAGAAACTGTGTGTACTCATATCCTCTCACACCCGCTGTCTCCTTACAGCTGGGCCCCAAGGTCACGCTTCAGTTTCCATCATCTAGAGAGAGGTGGAAGGAGTAAGGGTCTCCGCTGCCTAGCCCTCTGCATAAGGAAAGTTAAAGGAGAGGGCCACCTGAGAGACTTGCTCAGGGCTTTCTCACTCCCTTCTTCCAGTGTCTAACCTCTCCCAACCCTTATTCCACCCTGCAGGTGACCACTGACTGGGACCTTCAGAAGGGCACTGGCTGCACTGAAGGCCACACAGGAACCTCAGCGGCAGCTCCTCTGGCAGCGGGCATGATAGCCCTCATGCTGCAGGTGCGGCCCTGCCTCACATGGCGGGATGTCCAGCACATCATTGTCTTCACAGCCACCCAGGTGAGAGTTGGCGACCAGCTAACCAGTGTCCAGCCCACCCCACTCCACGGCTGGGCTGTCAGGATACTGCAGACTCAAATGTCTCGCTCGGGGTGGGGTGTGTGAAGCATGGGTGTGGGGGCTCCATCAATATAGCACAGACCCAAGGTGAGCTGCGGCGAGGCACTGTCATCTGGGAGCCCATCCTCTTGAGTCCCTCTAGGGCACCAAGTCACTCCTGGGGTTTTGAGTTTTTTCTTACGTTTTTTGAGGGAATCCATTCCTAGTGGCCTCAGTGGGAATGTCTGGACTAGGTCGGTTGCCGGGTGAGAGGGAGAAGAAAGTCAGGCAGTGTTAGAGTCTCACCAAGGCTTTGTTTTTTCAGTATGAAGATCGTCGTGCAGACTGGCTCACCAATGAGGCTGGCTTCAGCCACAGCCACCAGCATGGCTTCGGCCTGCTCAACGCGTGGAGACTTGTCAATGCAGCCAAGGTGAACCAGGTGTTAGCCAGCAGGACATCCTGCATACAGAGACTGGGGGATGGTACCAGTGCATAAACATGCCTGGCATTTTATTGGTACTTGACCACTTTGGCCCTTCCTCTGGCTGATAGCCATATCAGTGGAAAGAGGAAGTTCCCAAACTGTTAGTGTGATGTGAGGAGAGCTCAGGTGGACTCTGGGCCTTTCAGCGCTGTTGGTTTCCTTCCCTTCAGACCATAGCCGTCTCCTCTGAGTTCTTAACTTGTTCTCAGGAACATTTGGTGTACAGAAGTAACCTCAAGTGAAAGAGTGTGATGACAGAAAAGCTAGGGTTAGACCTTAGAGAGCTTACTCTGTGTGTGTGTGTGTGTGTGTGTGTGTGTGTGTGTGTGTGTGTGTGTGATTACAGTAAGTCTTGTTGGTTAATTGCTGTCCCCTACTTTTCTTTGAACAGATCTGGACATCTGTCCCTTACTTAGCCTCCTATGTCAGCCCCATGCTGAAGGAGAATAAGGCTGTGCCTCGGTCCCCCCACTCTCTGGAGGTGCTATGGAATGGTAAGCCTTCAGCACAAGGGGTTAATGTTAGGTCCGAGGCTTGAGGCGGCTGATGGGGAAGCTAAGCTAAGATCATCCTCCCTGCCCAGTTCTCCCCCTTCCTTCAGTAGCTGAGCTGTGGCCAAACCTGTAGAGTTTTCTTTGACCATTTTAGGGCATGTTGCTGCTTCTGAGTTGGCTGGCCTCTGGCTGCTTAACAAGACCTTTCTTCCTAATAGCAGGAAGGAGCTGTGAGCCATGGACTAGGAAGGCAGTGGGCTGAGGGAGTGGGGCTTACAGAGCCTCAGCGGGGGTTGAAAGAAGCTCCTGTGACGTTCATGCTAAGATCATGCCGGCAGCCCTATCCAGGCCAGAGGCCATAGCGTGAAGGAGAGGATTGCGTGGCTCGGGTCTTCATTTCCTCCAGAGAAAGCCAGACGCCATCTCTAAGGGGTGGGACAGAAGCACGAGGACAGGTCTTCTGGGCTAGCATTGCTACTGTGCTGTTGCTGTTTCCTCTCTGCTTGCCGTTAGCAAGTCTGCCTGTGAAGGAGTGCAGGGCATCCGTCTTCTGACCCGAGGGATGTGGTGTATGTTAAACAGAGGTAGAAACCCTTCCAAGAGATGGGAGGCTGGATCCAGATGTTTTGTGCAGTGACCCTCTGCCTGCATTTTTAGTTGTGGTGCTTGTGAAAGAACCCAATGCCTCATACATCCTAAGCACACACACTCTATGACCAAGCTATGCCCCAGCTTCTCTGTATGCACAGTTCTCGCTTAGTCCTGCCCTTAGCCCCATTGGCCAGTTTTTTACCCTCGAGAAGTTTTGACAAGCAGAGTTATTTGCTACTTTGTGTGAATACTGAGGTGTGTGTGCTCTGTGCTAATACTAGAACTCTGTCCTTATTTTTCCTGTGCTCCTTGAAAGAGCTCAGACCAGAGACATGGTGACTAGAAGAATGAGCAAAGGAGGGACTTTGGGTGGGAGGATAGGGCAGCCTTCCTTCATGGACACTTACCTTTCTCCCTAAGCATATCCTGCTCCTATCAGTTTCCCTGTGCATGGAGGGGGTGCGGCCTAGGGGACACACTTTCCATGAACAGCATGCTGTCACAGGAAGGGCAGTGAACAGACCCAGGAATGTGGCTCCGGGAAGCCCCTGGCCTTTACACGCTGTCTTGGGGATTGTGGGCCTTTTGACCTTCCTCTGTTCAGGGCTGTTTCCACTCACTTCTGTCAGATGAGCAAGTGAACTCCTCACGGTCAGAGACCTCTCCAGCTTTGTTGTCCTGTGCTTCCCACTCTCCAGGGAATGTGGCCCCAAAGTCTGACATCTTCCATAGGTGCTGGGCAGCTGGCAATTACCTGTTGGTCACTAGAAAGTATGGAAGTGAAGTGAAGAGAGCAGGATACGGGGGTGGGAGGTAAAGATGTAGGAGTCTGGCTGATAGAGTCTTTCACCAGAGTGGTAAGCAGGCCTTCCCACTTCAGAAGCCACAGAAAGAGATTTCTTCCCTTGAGTACATTCAGCCCTCAATAGATAGAACAAAACAGAACTGAAAGTGTGAGCCTGAAAGGCTGGCTTGATGATCAAAGGAGTGAAATTCACATGATACAGAACTGAGCAACTTCAGCCCCAGACAGTCTAGATGCCCATCCCCTACAGTCAATCCTAGAGGGTCCAGTACCTCATCCCAGACAGCCCCAATTGATCCAGACACATTGTAGACCTTACAGCCACGGATAGTCCAGACCCTATCCCCTAGAGCCAGTCATAGTCTTCAAGCAAGATCAGGCTGACTGTAGGTTGAAGGCTGGAAACACACTTTTTAAAGAGAGAGAGGGAAGCTCAGCATGGTGACAGCTGTCTGTAGTCCTAGCACTCAGGCCAGAGGACAGGAAGATGAATGCAAGTTCATCTTGGTTTATGTAGTGACTTCCAGGCCAGTCAGGACTGCAGAGGGAGGCTCTGTTTTTAAAAAGAGAAAGGAGGCAGACAGAATGAGCCGAGTATCCAGACAGTAGCAGAAGAGATGAAATGACCTTAAAGGGTCCAGAGCGTTGTTAACCAGGACTTTTAGCTGTAATGGAGATGTCCAGATGTGTACAGCTATTGAGTCTGTCAGACATTTCATTGGTAGCTAGTGTGACCAAGGAAGTGAACTCTTTTTCTCTCCTTTTCGAGACAGGTTTCTTTGTGTAGCTCTGGCTGCCTGGCTGTCCTGGAACTTGCCCTGTAGACCAGGCTGGCCTTGAATGCAAGTCCACTTGCCTCTGCCTTCCAATTGCGTTTAGTCACGGTGAATTTTTATTTTACCCATCTGTATGTTTCTTGCCAAGCATGGTGAACAGTGCAACTCATGAGCAAAACAGGCTTGCTTTTTTTTTCCCCCCACTGGAAGTCAGTAAAGAGGAAGAAGCTCACACTGGGTCTTAAATCCCTATCGAGTGGGAAGGGAGTGGGCTTTGCAGGAAGTCTCTTCATTGGAGAGTCTTGCACCTGTGCTTTGTGTGCAGTCGGAGTATGCCAGCTACTCCTCTGCCACACGAAGTCCTGCTCCCCTTTCTTCCATTCGTCCCCAACTGCAGGCCACTATTGGTTCTCCTGCTTCTCTACTAGCTGAAGTCCATACCTCCTTCAGGACTCATCTGTGTGTATTTTCTCCTTCCCTGCCTGCCTTACCCCCACCCCATCTTGCTTTCCTAATAGGATTGAACCTAGGTGCTAGCAAGTACTCTACCAGTAAACTATATTCCCAACACACGCAGGGTTCCTTTTTTTGGTCCCATTCAAGGACAAGCTTGTAGTCTATCCTTCTGAAGCTTCTTGTTGCACTGATCTTAGAGATAGGTTAGCCCCTGTCTTGCTCTGCTGCCTGTGATTCCCTTGCTCCATTGTCCTTTCTGGCCTCCCTCCCTGCCCAAGGTTCCTGTTTTCCTTATGTACTTGAAACTCTAGAACCATGAGTGTCTTTTGAGCTGTCTTCTGACTCATTGTCACCCCACCACCATCCTGCTTCCTCCCTCATCAGAGCTGCTGTGTTTGATTTCAGCTCCATCTTCTATGCACAGTTACTATGCTTAAATCTTATTTTTAATTCCTCATAAATAGGAAGGCTAGAGATTGTCATAGCTTACACCAGATTATGGAAACAAGCAAACAGCTTGGTGTCTTCTAGATAGAATATGAAAAAGAAAAAATTTTGAAGACAATATAATAATATGTGATTTATAAGGACGGCCAGTTTCTTGGGGTTTCTGGTGCTGTTGAAACACCATGGCCAGAAGCAATGTGTGAAAGAAAAAGTTTATTTTAACTTGTAGATTACACAGTCTGTCATAGAAGGAACTGAAGAGGCAATGGAGGAACTCTGCTTGCTGGCTTGCTCTCCATTCCTTGCTTGGCCTGGTTTCTTATACAGTCATGAGCACCTGCACAGAGGTGACACTGCCCCGTCCATGGGCTGGGTCCACCCATACCAATCATCCACAGGCCAGTGTGGTAGGGACATTTTCTTAGTTGAGGTTCCGTCTTCCTAAATGACTCTATCTTGTTTCAGGTTGACAACAAAACTCAACCAGCTGATATTCAAAGTAGTCCATTTTAGGCATTAACTTAATTTAATTCAATTAGAAATAATAGTTTACCCAAATGCATTGCCATCCAGGTCTCTGTCCACAGCACTTAAAAGTCAATGTAAGCCAGGCATGGTGGTATATACCTTTAATCCCAGCTTTTGGGAGGCAAAGGCAGAAAGATTTCCAAGTTCCAGAATAGCCTGATCTAAACAGTAAGTTCTAGGACAGCCAGGGCTACAGAGAGAGATCTTGCCTCAAAAAAAAAAAAAAACCCAAAAAAAGAGTAAGGTGTAAGGATCAAGCAAGTTAGGGGTTATTGTTTGTCTTTTCTTTTGTATAGTTTTTTTTTTTTTTTTAAAGATTTAGCCTGGCAGTGGTGCCACACACCAGCACTCAGGAGGCCCAAACAAGTGAGAGTTCCAGGACAGCCAGGGCTGCACAGGGAAACCCTGTCTCATAAAACAAAACAAAAAAAGTAAAGTCTTTGTTATCTTAGTTTCCCTTTCCCATATTTCTCAGCACCTCTCTGTCTTCCTTATCTGTAAAATTAAGATGTCACTCTTCGGGCTGGAGAGATGGCTCAGCGGTTAAGAGCACTGGCTGCTCTTCCCAGAGGTCCTGAGTTTAATTCCCAGCAACCACATGGTGGCTCACAACCATCTGTAATGGGATCTAATGCCCTCTTCTGGCATGCAAGTGTATATGCAGATACACTACTCAGAAAAAAAAAAAAAAAAGATGTTAGGCTGGAGAGATGGCTCAGTGTAAGAGCAATTTTCAGCACCCACATGGCAGCTCACAACTCCTGTTCCAGCACCCTTACACACACACACACACACACGTATATCTCAAAACATTATACATAAAATAAATTATTTTTAAAAAGATGTTGCTAAACTTTGCTTTAATTGTTGAAAAAAATTAAGGCAAGAAAAGATATTTTAAGAAGAATTGTATCTCACTACAGTCTAATTCCTAGTTGAGTCTCCCAGTGTGTTAGTTCCCTCCTCCTCAGCACTTTTATTCTGAAATAGTTGTAGATTTGTAGAAATGTGCAAAATGTTCAAGGAAGTCTCGTGTACCCTTCCTTACTGTTACTGTCATATAATCATAACAGTAGCAAAGCCAAGTGCTTGGCACAGTCCACAGACCGTGATCAGTTTCACTGGTTTTGCGTGTGTGTGTGTGTGTGTGTGTGTGTGTGTGTGTGTACTTGTGTAACCACTGCCACTGTCAGGACCTGAAATGTGCTATCATAGGACCTCTTTATGGCTGCATGAACCCTTTCACATCCCTGATGCCTGGGAAGTGTAATTATGCAGTATAAATCCTTTTAAAATCAACTTTTCATTCTGCATAACTTTTTTGAAGCATATCCGTTCTAGTAGCTGTATAATTTACTATTGTGTTGTCTTTTATCCATGAAAATTGCCTGTTTATCTCTATCTTTTTAGTGCCGTTCCTTCCTAGAATGCCCTCTGCTAGTCTGAGTTGATTCCTTACCCAGGACATCTCAGTGCTGTGTGCCTCAACTCATCTGATATGCCCCATATCAAGTATCGTTGTGTGTTTGCGAGTGAAGCTAGGGACTGTGCACACGACTCTTTGTAGTCACCTCATCCTGTACAGTGCTTGAGACATGGGAAGTGCACGCGGATCGGTTTTGGGGGGTGGGGGGTCAGTGATGGAGTTCTTCTGTCTGCGTGGTCGTATTGTCTCCCTAGCTAGACCCTGATGTAGGGAGGAGCTTGACTACAGCACTGCACTCCGTTTGCTAGAACTACTACTACTACTGCTAGGCGTTCACTAGCCGTAGAACTAGTAGAGCACCGCACTACTGATGTTGTCTACGGCTTTAGTACATGAGTACTGTTGTGTATGCTGCGGTGAAATGAGGGCATGCTTATGGGCTAGTTTCCAAGCTGCATAGCCTGACTTCCTATAGTCAGCAGGACGGACCTGGAGATGTCGGGGCTGAAGACCCTGGAACATGTGGCAGTGACAGTCTCCATCACTCACCCACGACGTGGCAGCTTAGAACTGAGACTGTTTTGTCCCAGTGGCATGATGTCTTTGATCGGCGCCCCCCGCAGCATGGACTCGTATGTACACCCGCTCACGGCCTCCCAACCTCTCTTCGTAGTAAGGGCCTTACATAGTGTGCATAGTCCCAAGCAGATACTGAAGCCGTTGACCATGCTTTATTCAAGTGTCTATAACATACTTGGCATTATACTCTGCATGCATTTTTCCTAATCCTGTGGAAAGCTAAGTGTAGTCCTGTGGGGGCTATAGTTCCTGTACAGGGGAGGCTGATAAGACAAGAGGATTGTGAGTTTGACACCAGCCTGGGCTATCTAGCAAGACCCAGTTTCAAAAGCCAACAGCCTGTAGACACTTATTCAGCATGCTGGACTAAATGCAGAAAAAAGAGCAGCACATACTGTAACCCCAGTACTTGAGTTGCTTGTGTGGCCAAGGAAAAAGGTTCAAGACCAGCCAGGGCTTTTTGGTTTGACCCGTCTAAAACATAGAAAAGAAACTTAGAGCCCTGGGATTTCCAGCCCTGTGCTTTCACTAGTGGCCTTTACACAAGGACAAAACTTTCTCATACCCTGTGATCTCAGGAACAGATGGCACTGTCCCAGATGCTTCTGATGCCTTTCCTGTTCTGGGATAAGTTTCCACTGTCTGCTAGGCCATCCATGTGCTCTTTCTTTGCTCTTTCCCAGGGATCCCAATGGCTTCAGTGACTGGACCTTTTCCACTGTGCGGTGCTGGGGGGAAAGAGCCAGAGGCGTCTACAGACTGGTTATCAGGGACGTAGGTGAGCCCTCCTGTCTTACACTACCTTGTCCCCCTGGAGTCTCACACTACCCGCAGGAAGTGTTCCACGGGTAATAGGTAGAGTTGATGTTGGTGAAGATGGTATATGCAATAAGTATGTCCTCTCCTGAAAGTAGGCATTGTCCGTAAACTGCTCATTTATACTGCCTCTATAGTCTTGGAGAAGTGACTGATCCATTTTTCCTCAGGATAGCAACAAAAATTCCTTGTTGAAACCACATTTCAAGCCCTTTCACATATAACCATCCTCGGCCAGTGCTGATAGGCAGGTAAGGGCAGGACAAATTTTCACCATTTTGCTTTTTAGAAAACCTGAGGTCCTTAGGCTTGAAGTGAGTGTTTCGGATCAGGGTAGCAGTGAGGGTCACCACAGCACGAGTAGGAGACAAGTGCAGTATCAGCGCGGGGAGGCTGGACATGGAGCCCGGCCTCCCAGCTCCCAGTCACTATAGGTAGTCACTTGGCTGGCAGCTTTGGAACTTTTGTTTTGATAGAAGAACATTTTTTCCTTTGAAGGAAAAGTCCAGGTGAACCCCCAGACCATGGGAGGCAAAGGCAAAACACTGCTTTCCATATGTCTTTCAACCTTTCTGTTCTGTCCCTAGGATGCCCTGTGAGGTACTTCTGCAGATCCCTTGGGGTCTCAGGGACACAAACTATGGAAGACCATGTGGTCTGAATCCCCTTGGGTGGCTGGGTGGGCCAGGCTCTTGTGTTATGCATGGCCAGCAGTCCACAGCTTATGTCTACACACTTACTGCCCTAGGAGATGAGCCGCTCCAGGTGGGCATCCTCCAGCAGTGGCAGCTGACCCTGTATGGCTCCATGTGGAGTCCAGTAGACATCAAGGACAGACAGAGGTAGGTACATCCATCAGAGGAGAGAGAGGGAGATGGCTCTTGAGAAACAGGGAAGCCTGACCTCCTTCTGAACGCCACCTGTGCTGTAGGCTTAGGCCAATGGACAGAGCCATGGACTGGGAAGCCATGGTACTTCTGCCCTTCCTGCTTTGGGGCTCCCCTCACTCTGTTCAGCTACAAGATTGGGGCAGATGGTGTGCATACTGTATTAGTAGTGTATCCTTGTCTCTTTTTGCCCTGTAGTCTCTTAGAAAGTGCTATGAGTGGGAAATACCTGCATGATGACTTCACTCTGCCTTGCCCACCTGGGCTGAGAATTCCTGAGGAGGATGGTTACACCATCACCCCTAACACACTCAAGGTACAGAGCCATAGCTGACAGGACTGTCCTGGGGGATTTGTTCCTTGATATTACTCCAGATGAAGTGGGAAATGAGAGATTTGGAGGACATGTGTCCCTAGTGTCACTGTTGGCGTCCTCCTAGAGGGAAGTACCTGTGTATAAGAAAAGTTAGGGCAGTAGTTGGGTTCAGAAATATGGTCCCAGAAGAGAGAGACTGCCTGGGCTCGTGTTTCTGGGCTAGACCTGTCACTAACCCACCGGCGCTTGGCTTTCCAGACCCTTGTGCTGGTGGGCTGCTTCAGTGTCTTCTGGACTGTTTACTACATGCTAGAGGTATGCCTGAGCCAGAGGAGCAAGGCTTCCACCCACGGCTGCAGGAAACATAGCTGCAGGAAAGGATGCTTCTCCCGGCCCCCACGAAGGCAAAACTCCAAGGAAGTGGGGACAGCACTCGAATCGGTGCCACTGTGCAGCAGCAAGGACCCGGATGGAGTGGATTCAGAGCATGGGGACTGCACAACTGCATCTAGCTTCCTGGCCCCAGAGCTGCTGCGGGACGCTGACCGGAATCTGCCCCAGAACAGTAAGAGTGACCTGGATTGTCCTCTGCACGAACCCCCAGACCTGCTGCAGGGGAAGGATGGACAGGTTTGCTGACTAGAGCCCAGCTTCCTCCATATACAACAGGCTCTTCCTAAACTTGGTTATGAGGCTTTCAATCATGGATGCTCAGAAGAGAATGGTCCTGATAGTAACATCTGGGACCCAAGGCCTCTGAAGCATTCTCAGCCTCCTCAGGGGGATGAAGGCCATCTTAACTAAGTGCAGTGGTAAAGGACTTGGTGATCATGGCTCCTCTAGCTGAGCTCTGCTGAAAACCTTTAGACAAGGGATTGGCACTGAAACCAGGCAGCCCTTGATTTCATCTCTCTCTGGCTAGTCAGTGTCCTAGGTCATTGGGACCTCCACCCATTCATGAATTATACAGGTACCTGTATACCTAGGTATGCTCTCAATAGAAGTGTCACTGTGCCGAGGGCCCAGAGAGAGGCTGGCAAGACTGGCAAGAGCCTGGACATGCCTGCCCTGAAAGCAGCTGCCTTTATTGCCCTTTTCTGTGCACCTGTTCTGAAGCCAACTTAATCCTGCTTGTATCTGCACTACCGTTCACCCTTCCTGCTGAGGGAATGGTGACGTGTTCCCAGGAGAACTGGAAGGCACAGGATTCCCAGCACCCTGCTGCCTCATTGGGGAAGTTGGCCAGCGGGACTGCGGAGAGCTGAGACAGTATTTTCAGAGATAACCTGGGAGCCACTGCCTATGACCACCCTGTCTTCCTCTGCGACATGCTCAGGGAAATGGCCTTCATTCCAGAGGCCAGCTGTCTGTCAGACTTTTCCTCCATTCTTGGCCTTCTTCCCTTCCCATCTTCTGAGCTAATTGTTAATATGAATTTTTTAATGCTTAAGATTTGATTTTTACTTTTCAAAGCAACATTTTGTTGAATTTTTTTCTGCACAGCTTTCCAAAATAAAAAGCAGAAGTATAAAAATCCAAACAATTCCACCACTCCCAGCTTTCCCTCCTCTGCCAACCCAGAGCTATGCAGATGGCAGGTCACTCTTCCTCCCCACAGCCTGCTTCCTCTGAAGCTCTGGGCCTGCGGGTCCTGAGAAGTCATCCAGCAGGCAGCGGGCAGGAACATGTGAGCCCTCCATGCTCCCACCCTCAGGGTTCCTGGGATGCTAACAGGAGTGACAAACCAAACTGCCAGCCAGGCCTGAGAAAAGATGGAGATATATGTATATATATATTTATATATATATATATTTTTTTTTCCTTTTTGAATTTCAACCCAAAAAATATTCCAGGAAAAGATGTAGAGGCTGGGCTGGGTCTCCTTCAAAGGACATTTGCTACCAAGGACAGTGGACTGGCCTACAGCCAGGTTACCCCAGCCCACTTCTCCCTGCTTACTCCAGGATGGCAGTAACAGTGGAGGTGGGGGTACAGCTGGGAACATGGGCCAGGGCAGTGGTGGCTCTGGGGTAAGAAGCTGGGCTGAGGCTGAGGATAGGTGCGAGCTGCCCATGTGCAGTCATCTTTGCCCAGTGACACCTCAAAGCTGTCAGGGCTAAGAACCTACAGAGGCGTGGCGGAGGCGGGCTAAGCAGGATGCTGCAGCTCAGGACTGGCCCTCCCTTTCTAACTGATGATCTGCCGGGGTCGCCCGTAGCCTGTCATGCCAGCCTGTGAGGCCCCTCTGTTGCTGCCCATTTGAAGACCAATGACGTGCTTCCCCTCCTGCAGTTGGCTTTCTGTGAACTCCCTCTTATGCTCCTGGGCTTTCCTAGAAGAAAAGGAACCAGGGTCAGGCTTGCTAGAACTTACTGTTCTCCAACTGTTTCCTGATCCCCGTTACTGCCATGTTTAGCTCCGTTCCCTTCCTGTTTGTCTTCTCTTTTTTCCCTGAGTTTGTCTGGTCCTAGGAGTTAGGGAGCATGCTGGAGCACATGCTGGTTAAAGGTAGGTGTGCAGAAGTAAGACCTCATTTCCCCCAGTCCAGCGCCCTTACCTGGGACGTTCCTGCCTCTGCTATACCTGATCTTTACTACAGCTGACCAGCCCAAGCCACCCGAACCCCACAGAGACCCAGTGGCCACATACTTCATAAACCAGTTGGGATCTCCACGGTAGTGTCCATCGTTCTTGGTCACAGCCAAACTGCCCAAAGCCATTAGAGTCCTCTGCACTGCCGCCATGTCCTTGCCTGTGAGAAGGACGGCCAGAGAACCAATTTCAGGACCATATAGGCAATACCTGCCTAGACTCAAAAATGGTCAAACCAAGAGCAAGTGGCATCAAATCAAGAGGGTTCAAGAGACCCTATTCTAAACCCTAGTGAGTGTGTGGTAGATATTTTATATCCTAGGATCCAACGCAGGCCTTTGTACATAGAAGGAAAATGCTGTCCCACCAAGCTGGTCCCCTGTTTGTGCCCTCTTGGCATATCCCATTCCTGCTACGCACACCGACAGAGCTGGTTGTGGCTCGTGAGTTTCCCTCTCCTTGCCTGATAATCTTCCTCTCCACTGGCCCACTGGCTCCAGCCCTTTTCCTCTGTACCTTCAAAGAGGTCAACAGTCTGGAACATGTCAGTCTTGGTGACTCCATAATCCTCAGCTGCCTTCAAGAATTGAGCCACCTGTTCCATCTGCTTGAAGACCATGGAGGGCGGGTTCTCAGGCACCTTCACAGGCTTGGACCCATCAGGATACAGGCTGTTCACCAACTTGCTCAGAATCTGGCAGGTACAGAACATAGCTGAACACTCAGCTCAGGGGGTTCTGTCTCACAGTTTGTAGGGTGGTATACACATCCCAGACCCTCTTCTCAGGGTGTCACTCACCACGCCATTCTTCAGCCACACCTGGAAACCCAGGCGCCCACGATCTGGGCGGCCTACATCGGAGCCACACTGCATTACAATCCACTCCACTAGTCGCTCCTCCAGCTCCTCGTCATACTTCTTCTCAATTTTGGACTGCACTTCACGGCTCATGCCGTAGGATGGACCCTTGTTGGCCATGTTGAGGCAGAGCTAAAGCAGATGGTGTGGAGAAAAGAACAAAGAGCCAGGGAATTGCTTTACCTCATTTGTAACAAGCAGGCCTTTGACTCTGAGGGGTTCCCAGCTACCCTCGACACCATAGCATGACCAAGGAGACCAGCTTTAGCCACTTGCTTTGGAGACCCCTCTGAACTTGAACTTCAAGAAACAAGGTCTTAGATATTTGTCAGTCTAGAACAAGAGTCTTGTCAACTTTTTATATAAAAGACCAGAGTAAATATTTTAGACTCTGCAGTCCATATGGCCTCTATTATTGTGTGAAAATAGCCCAGCTGATACATAACCAATGTGTGCCAATAAAATTTTGTTTATAAAAACAGACATCAGGCTGCATTTGGCCTGTGGACTATTTTGACAACCCCTGGACTAGAGCCAGCCAGCCCTCCCTCCCTCCCTCCCTCCCTCCCTCCCTCCCTCCCTTCCTCCCTCCCTCCCTCCCTCATTGCTTTCTCTCTGCAGTACTGATGGAACCCAGGGCTTCACACAGAGAGGGAAGTATGCATTGCTAAGCTTTGTCCTCAGCCTTCTCTTTGTTTTATAGTTGGTTGTTTTGACATCCCAAGAAGGAGTGTCACTGTGTGGCTTTCACTGTCTTAGAACTCTCCCTGTAGAGTAGGCTGGCCTCCAACTCACAGATCTGCCTGCCTCTGCCTCCCAAGTGCTAGAATTAAAGGTATGTGCCACCAAAGTCTGGCTTGTGTTATAGTTTTGAGGCATTGTCTCACTAATTTTTACAGGAAGACCTTGAACTTGGGTACTCCTGCTTTCATCTTTGGAGTAGCTGAAATTAAAGCCCTGCATCACCTGGATTGGCTATCAAGAGCATTCTTTCTTTGCCAAGACTAGCCAGAAAAGCACTAGAGATGTTTTCCAGAAGCCACGTTCTCCCCTAAGTGAAGCCAGCAGATATCTTTGTCTAGCTACCAGTTGCCACCAAATCTTTACCCTCTGACCCAGAAGCCGGAAGAGCAAAGTTCATCCCTCAAAGTGCAGCTGACAAAATGACCTGATACAGCCACCAGAGTCCAAGGGTTCTCAGAAATCAATTGCATTCTCAGGGAGACCCAAGATGGAAAAGTGCTGTCATGCCCATTCAGCCAGCTCTGGCTGTTGCAATAGTTAGAGGAATCATGCAGTCAGGGTTCTCCCTGAGGACCCAGATATGAAGAAGGAAGGCTGCAGGAGCAAGGGAGGTAGGTAGGTCCCTGGATAGATACCATCACAGCTGGGGCCAGATCCAGTCAGCAGGGGATACCCTGAGTGAGATGCCATCTGTTGAGGTGTCTGAAGAACTTTACAAACCAACCCCTGCTTCTGAGAGGTCATAGGTTGGGAGAAACGTATGAGCATGGGGCAGTCGGTGGCCTCGCCCACCTGCTTCCCATGAAAGCAGGGACCTTCTCCACAGTCGTAGCTGGGGAGGTGGTAAGGAGTGGAGCAAATGTTTCCATGTGGCTTTGGTCCCAGGTCAGCTGTCAGACTCTGAACATCTTGCTACCCCATTCCCTGTACTGTCATGTCAACCCTCTTCAGTTATGAGCTCTCTGCTTTTGAAGTGGGGCTAACTGTCTACTCAGAAAGCCAGGAAGATGCTGTCTATGAATTACAGTACACACAAGCTTTATAGAGCTCTTTCAAAATGGTGTGTGTGGGGTGGGGGTACTGTAACCAGCGAGGAGTTTACACAGTAAACTGACCTCCCCTTCTCCAGTTCCCACCACATTCCCCAAAGCATTCCCTGAGCCCAACACCAAGTTTGAGAGAAAAAGAAACAGGAAAACCCAAAGACCTCATCAAAATGACAGCCCTAGAGGCATCTCGCTTCCCTGAGGTGAAGGAGAGGGGACCCTCATCAATCAAGGACATGGCTTTCTGAGTACCCTCTCCCGGCTGGATGGCGCTGGATGGACTCAAAAGCCTGGTTTCTGTTGGGAAGTTGTCAACAGCCCTGTCCCTCACACAACCACCCCATTGTGTGACCTGCCCCCCACCAGGAACTGCTGGGACAAACAACATAAAAGCCACAAAGCAAATGGAACCAGGTGACTGCAGTGTCCCTTCCTTTTAGCCACCACTCAGCCTGTCTCTACCACTGCCCGCACACAACTAGTTTCAAGCACCTTACAGTTTCCTTTCATTCCTGGCCATGTTTGTCTCCTCACCTGGCCACTAGAGGAAAAGTTGAGAGAAGAGTGTCCTCACATGCACTCTCAGTCTCCAGGAAGTTCTGAACCGACAGTATCAACTGCAGGACCAAGAACAAGCCCTATCGACTAGAGACAAGAACACACACTGCAGCCGGGCGGTGGTGGCGCACGCCTTTAATCCCAGCACTTGGGAGGCAGTGGCAGGCGGATTTCTGAGTTCGAGGCCAGCCTGGTCTACAGAGTGAGTTCCAGGACAGCCAGGGCTACGCAGAGAAATCCTGCTCAAAAAACAAAAACAAAGGAAAGGAAAGGAAAGGAAAGGAAAGGAAGAAAGGAAGGAAAGAAAGGAAGGAAGGAAAGAAAGGAAAGAAAGAAAGAAAGAAAGAAAGAAAGAAAGAAAGAAAGAAAGAAAGAAAGAAAACACACACTGCAGCCCTGACATGTTAGGTCTGGGTCAGGGCATGTTCTCAGGATTCCATGTGCCCCCTCACAACTCCACCCAGCAACCGCCCTTCTTCCCTGTCTCTCCTGGTGGGAAGAAGAAAGTCCAGAGAAGTCTCTTTGAGAAGAGGCCAGGAAAGCCAGTAAGAATAAAATATATGTGTCCAAATGCCATGATGAAATATATTTTGTATGCTAACAACAACAATAAAAACCACTTAAGAGAAAAAATATCAAGTTCTCATCTTAGAGGCAGCAAGGAGAGGAGAGGGAGAAGAAGGTGGTGGTTTGGCAGCCCACCAGGATGTTTCTAGACAGAAGCTCCAGTACAGAACACCTGCATGACGCTCAGCTTGGATGTCTGTGGCCATGATTCCAGTCAGCCCTCCAGTCAGTGAGTGGAGAGGGTAGGCTGTGGAAAGGGGCTTCCACCTACCAGTTGCCCTGGAGAACAAGTAGAACCAGGGTATATCTGCCTGTGGTACCCCAGCCCACGAAACAGCAGTAAGGGCGAGTGAGCATCTCTGCATCTCTGGGAGGAACCCGGAAGAGCAGTCCTGTGAGTGACATCCCTTAGATAGCCCCAAGGGGAGCCACCAAGACCCTTCGGAAGGGGCAGGAGTTCCAGGGCTGCCTGGTCCCAGTTCCTCCACCTGTCACCTATCTGCCTATAGTGGCCTGACCTTCTACTTTCAGACTGGACCGAGCTGCCATGGGAAAGCAGGCCCTATCTCAGGCTCTTCTGGAACATTAAACTTCTGTGGTGGATAGAGGAAATGTCTGCCATGCATAGTACCCTGGGGTTTGATCTCCAGCGCTACAAACAAATAAGATCTTTAGTCTTCCACTGTCTGGGGAGGGGTCGTGGGGGAGGCTACCTCCTGGCTCTCCTAGGTTGCACAAGATCCCTGGGGACCATCAGTGGGTCACTGCTTTCCAGAACTTAGCCCCTCACTTTCTTGGAGATCCTAAGAATGGAGCTGGTCCCTTGGCCTCATTTACATTTCTTTGGGTCTAACACACAGCCCATGGGTGGGACAGTGGCTGACTCCCTCTCACCGGAGTAACTTCCCCCATTGATTCTTTTGCCCCAGTCAAGTCTTCCTGGGCATTTTAACCGGACTTTTTGCCTAGTCTAACAGAGAAGAGTCCTGGGGGCCCAATTCCACCCAACAAGCTAGAGGAGACTAGGGGAGCCCCCAGCTAACCGAGACCGCGGCCCTGCCTGATGGCACACACCCCTTCTGCTCCCGTTGCTCGCACTTACAAGACTTAGTCGTTCGTGGGCTGGAAGGAGAGTAGCGTCAGTGTCTGGGCTGGGTCAGACAGGCTGGGGCGCCGGCTGGGTGAGGGGTTTAAAGGCCGCCGAGGCAGTGATGTCACCTCTCTGCCGGCCCGCTGGCGCCCCTCCCTGCCCATGGAAGTCGTCTTGACTCCCCACCCCCGGACGCCTCACTCACTCCACACAGGCTCCATATTTGGGGAAAGACACCAAGTTGGAGCAGTCTGTCGGGGGCAGCCTGAGACATTCTCTGCGTGCTTTAGAGATGCTGCGGGGTTGGGGCGGGGCGGTGCCGAGGGCGGCGGGAAAAACCTTTTATGGGCAGGACCCTGAAAACCTTCCTTGTTACCCGGACTTGGGTCTGCTCTTCAATGGGAAAGAAAGGAGCAGGCGCGCTAGACAGTTTGGCCCGACAAAGGAACGTCCCCGGAACTTGTAGGGGACAAACAAGCCACCTTCTTGCAAGGCTTTAAAAAACAGTTGGTGGAAACTAGTCTCGACTGCAGCCTTCCTTCCACAGTCAGCTTTGTTAGGAGGCAGGAGTTACCACCCCGTTTTACAGCTGAGAAAACTGAGGTTCAGAGTGGCCTTTCTAAGGCCACCAGCGAGGGGCGGAACCTGGGTATCCCTGCCCACTGGTACAGGGAAAGCTTCATCAGATCCCCATCCAGAGCGCAGTGACAAAGGGAGGGTGTTTAAGGCCTGGCAAGGCTGGAGGTAAGGAGACTAGGAAACAGTGTCACCCTCTCCTTCCTTCAAAACAGTCCTTATCTTGAAAGACTCTACCACGCCCGGGAGGGTCACCACTCATCTCGGTCACTCATCACCCAGCTGCAGTGGGCTCAGGCCTCAGGGGTTAAAGACAACTGCTGTCAAACCTGATGGTCTGAGTTCACAACACAGCGGAGACAGAAACATCTCTCCTCTGACCTGCACACGTGTGCTGTCTCACACACTCACTGAACGCAACTTTTTAAAAGGTGAGGCTTTAGTGGTGTCTCTGAACCCTGCCCCCAATTCTGGGAACTTCAGGAGACAGAGAGAGAGGGAGAGAGACAAAGGACTAGGGGAAAGACGAGGACCCTCAGGCAGAGTCAGTCTCATTCAGCACTGGCCGCAGGCCAGAGAGAGGTGCAGCCTCAGAAGCCCCACCTACTACAGCCGGCCTGGCTGATTTAAGCTAGTGGTGCATAGAGCTACAGCACCTCCTCGTGGCATCTGAAGGAAGGGTCATAATCAGGATGCTGGAGTTCCCCCAGAGATGACTTTTCCTTCCATTCCCAGCCGCCTATTATGTCCTGAATTCACTAGATAGGACCCTCAAACCCCGTCCTTTTTATAATCTAAATAAAAACTCCCTCCTCTTAGATCCTGCTTGCTATGCATTCCTAAATAGTCTTTAAAACCTCCACCTGTAAGCGCTCTGCCCACTTCAGGTGCATCATGGGCAGAGCCTGGATACCCATCTGCCCAGCTGACTGGAAAGGATGCTGACCTTTCCATGGTAGACACAGGCAGGTGCTGTGTGCCTGCTGGAGGGTGATATCACAGGGAGAAGGCACAGACACACTTTCAGCATCCTGTTCCTGTCAGCAATGCTTGGAGCAAGAGTCACATGTTTACAGAATTAATGGGTGGCCTGAGGATTTTGAGGAAAACCCTGGTGGAATCAAGAAATGTCAGTATCCAACGTAGTTGTTCACAGAAATGAGAAGAGAAAGCCAGAACAAATGGGACTCGGGGGCTCCTGTACCCCCTAAACACATCAGTCAGACTCCAGATCCCAGGTCTGGTTCTTTATTGAATGCACTTGTTCATAGAAAACAGAATTGCAACCGTAGCATGGAGGGACCCAGAACAAAGCTCAGAAAAAGACTCAGACCTGCCTCTTCTCCCAGCCCAAGAGCTAGAAAAACATGGTGAAGAGAACGAAACACATTCCTGGGGCCCACTCTTGGCATCTGGAATGGACCTGGTGGAGTGAAGGGTAGGTAGCCAAGGACCAGAGTGGCCAGGGGCCAGAGCTGGGTGACTCTGTAAACGTCAAGGCTTTCTTAAACCTATGTGACTAACACAGAACTTGGCTAAATACTGGACGGAAACTCAGAAACCAGCCCTGAGTCCTTTGGTGAGACAGGGCCAAGGACACACAGGGACCTGGCATGTCCCTCCCTTTCTAAGACAGGCACTGGGACTCCTGCTCCCGTGAAAGAGGCAAAAGGGGGCTGTGTGCTTGGCACCATTCCATGGCCTCTGGACATTCTCGGGCAGTGTCAATGGCACTGAGAGGCCCCCATCTGGGGCTTGGCAGGACTGAGGGTGAGGAAGGGGACAGTGCGTTGCCACTTCCCACCAACCCTGGTGCTGGCATCGTTCTAGTGGCTGGTGGGATGAGGTGGCCTCTGAATTCAGCCCCCAAATCAGAAAACTCAACCTGGGCTGGCCCTCACCGCTGAAGAGCCAGCTCCAAGCACAGGTCAGAGGGGAGGGTCGTACCTAGGCCCCTTGTGGGCCTTAGCACCGAAAGCCTGGCACCAGCTGGCCAGCCCCTAAAGTCTCCTACCTGCATCCATCCTGGCAGGCCAGAGTGGGCAGTGATAGCAGCCAGCTCCAGACCCAGGGAGAACTTAGGTCCTGGTGCTGGACAGAGAATCAGGCACCAGACTACAGTCCTGGAGCAGAGCATGGGAAGAAGAAAGGGCTGTGTCCTAGGCCGAGAGGAGGGAAGGATGGGGAGAATGCAAGGCGTGAAACAGGACAAGACATTGCCTTCCCGCCTTCCTCTCCAAAGGGACAAATGGAGAGCCAGTGGATAAACAAGACAGATGGACAGACGAGGTCCTGGGGAGGACCCAACACTGAGAAGAAAGCAGCAATTTGGCCAGTGTCTGGGGAACGCGGAGCAGGCCTCCTCCGCAGCAAAGGTGACTGCAAGGCTCAGTGCCAACAGTAACTGTCCTGAGTCAGGCCTGGGCTGGAATCGCGCTGTCTTGCCACAACATCCAATGCCGGGCAGCGGAGCTGGGACTCATGCCCTTGGTGCTTGGGTGGCAACTGGCAGGCGATGCCGAGGCGCTGGGCCCAAGAGGAGAAGCCTGGACCACAGATGCTGCTAGAAGACGTAGATCTTGTCCCGCTGTACAGTGTCCAAGTCGTCATCCAGTGTCAGCAAAACCTAAGAGTGGATGGAGGGTCAGACGCTGGGAAGGAGGGGGCTGTCTGTTCTACCATCCCCTCTGCCCTCAGGCCAGGCACATCCCACATACCAGGAAGGACCCAAACATGGCAATGGAGGACAGGAAGTGCCAGATGTCGTGGTCATCAAAGAAGTCCAGGAGGATGCAGTCGCGGTTGTGTTCCCTGGACTCTGCGGGGGTTTTCTGGCAGGGGACAGAGCCAGCAGCCTACTGAGTCTGCTCTGCAGGGACCAACTCCACACCCACCTCCAACCCACTCCATGGTGCCCCACTGTCCCTGGTAGGAGAGCATCCTGTTCTGGCTCATGCTACACTCTGGCCCTCCACAGCTAACAATGGCTTTTCTCAAATATACTGATTCCGCTCTTTCCTCCTTCCTCCAGACCCATCTCCCCTTTATAGCTGTGGGCAGGAGGCTGTCATTACAGCTTCTACTCAGAAATCCAAGAGGGCCCAGAAGCCCCAACTCACTGCCTGCCTGGAACTTGGCCTCGCTTTCAAATTACCTCAGGGTAGGTTTCCCTCAACTACTCCACCAGGTCAGGGTCCTGATGCTCCTGACCCTCCAGGCTCCGCCCACAACCTTGCTGCCACAAGCATCTTCTGACACTATGTCTGGTACAGCCTGTGCTGAGGCCACACATCAAGACACATCTGACCCCATACAGGGACAGGTCTCTGCCAAGCTCCCAAATCAGTGTGTTCTCACACATCAAAGCTGCCTTGGACATTCCACCCTGTGTGGTTGCTCAGGTGACAGGACTAGAGCTATGTAGCTCGAACCAGATTTTCTGGCCATGAGCAAAGCCTGCCTCCTCTGAGAAGCTCTCCCAGGCCTCGCCATCTTCTCTTCTGCACACTCCGGTACCCTGACTTGCTTGTTTTTCATTTCAAACATGAACTAGGTGTGGGGAATGTAGTGTGGTGGCAGAGAGTATGTGCTTACTGAGGACAAGGGAAGATTTGACCCCTGGCCTTAAAACAACAAAACCCAGACGTGAGCTAGCAGTCTCTCTTCTGAACTAGACTGAATCCAATGCCACATAGGCAGAGCCATGCTATATTCAATTCTGTTTTTGCTTTTCCAGACATAGTTTCTCTGTGTAGCATCTGGCTATCTTGGAACTCATTCTGTAGAGATTAGCCTCAAACTCAGGGATCTGCCTGCCTCTGCCTCCTAGGTGCTGAGATTAAGGCATCCATCACAATGCCCAGCAGACACATTCAGTTCTATCAGAGATTCAGAGTTTGATGCACACCAGGTATCCTTTGAGGCAGTAAAGAAACTGATGTGTCAGGCTTCAAACCACAGCTGCCACACACTAGCTCTATGCTGAGGGAAGGCCCTGGGCCTCTCTGAAACTCAGCTGCCTTTAAAGTGACAGGTCCAAATTTCCATGCTGGCATGATATTGAGTATCAGAAGGCTTTAATGACAAGTCAAGAGGGAAGGCCTGGTCCAAGGTAGAGAACTTGCCATGGGTTAGCTTGCTACAAGCCTGGAGGTAGCTACTTACCTGCCACGTGCTGAGTCCCTGGAAGAAGAAGAAGAGCGCAAAGCCCCAGACCACGGAGGTGCAGACAATGCAGAGCAGGGGGATGAGCTTGATCCTCTCGCCGCTCCGGAGCTAGGGAAGGTCTGCAGCCGTCAGCCCAGGCCACTGCCTACCTTCAGTTTCTTACCTGGGCCCCTCCTGGATTTACAGGCTCAACCACAGAGCCCAGGCAAGTCTCATGCCAGCAGCCCTGATGCCCACTTTGAACTAGGTGTCCGTGTACCCACATCCCTGAGCCAACAAAAGCACTGGCTGGGAAGCTCCCTCACACTGTACAACCTGGAAAGGCACTGGGAGGCACCAGGCCTCAGAGACCTGGCTTAGCTATCACAGGCTCTGTGAACCCAGGCTAGGGGCGCGGCTTGGTGGCAGAGCACATACCTAGAGAGCAGCTCCCAGGAGGACTTACAAGAGACCCAAGCCACCCAACCACCCAAGCCTCACTGGCGTGGACATATGCAAAGCCTCCTTTCTCCCAGCGCCCCGCTCTGCTCCCGTAAAGCAGAGCAGCTGCTTCCCCCCCCCCATTCACCTTCATAATGATGTAGAAGGCGAAATAAAGCAGCAGGTTGCAGATGCCGATTGCCAGCAAGTAGGAGGCGAAGTCATTGGGGCGCATGATGAGTCCGTAGGCAGCCCTGAAAGAGGAGTGGGTTCTGGGGGAGGAGGGAGGGCCTCTCCTCTGCCCACACCCCCACCATGCTTCATCATTGCTTTCAACTATGTTCAGAGGCTCACAGAAGGTTCTAGAAGCCCACGGTTCTTTAGCCCCAATTCCTTATGTTCAAGGCTTCAAAACTGGCCATAGCCCTAAAGTCAGCCACTGGCCGACTATGTATGTCCCCAGCTGACGCCACAGCCAACGGCCACACTCACAGCGACCAGTTGATAATGTTGCCCATGACCAGAAGCACCATGCGGTCCTGGAGGGAAGCAGAGACACGGGGACTGAGAGGGAGAGAGAGATAGGGAGGGAAGAGGCGGAAGGCTCGTGTCAGCCAGTACCCGCCCCACCCTGGGTTCTCTGACACACCCTGATCCCACGGGGAAGAGGGGAGACGGAGGAGGAAGGAGCTGGGGAAGCTGAGCGGGTACCGTGTAAAGGGGCCCGCTGCACTGGCGGATGCAGTCTGTGTAGAGCACATGGAGGATGCGGCGGAAGATTCCGGAGTCTGCAGTGAGAAGGTGTGGCACTGACAAGGCTGAGCGGAGTCTTCAGAGGGCACAGCCCGGCAACACCAGGGAGTACTCTGAATCTCCCACCCAGGGATTCGTCCAGCCCAGTCAGATCAAAGAGACGCGGAAGGTCCCTTGTGTGTCCCCCACCCCTTACACACCCTGCCCCCGGCATGCTCTCACCCAGCTTCCAGCGGCCCATGTAATAGAGCTGGGTGCTGAGGAGCAGGGTGGAGATGATATGGATGACTGAGAAGACGATCCAGAAGGCTGTGTTCCCTTTGCCAAAAACCTGTAGGGAAGCCCGCAGGAGTGAGGGTGCAGTCCTCTCATGTCTGCACCCTAACTAGCGCAAGCACTTGGGTTAGGCTCCGGCTACAGAGGGACCCAGGATGGCCCCTTAGGGGAGCAGCGGACCTCTTCTGCAGTGGAAGACAGGATGAGTGCACACATGGGGGGTGACTGTGGGGATGAGGTGGGGTGGCGCATGTGCCTTTCCTACAGGGTCTGCCGAGTAGACCAGGCCCTTACCACGCCCAGGACGGAGAAGAAGATGACGATGGCCAAGCAGGCATATGCGCTGTAGGCACTGGCGTTGATATCTGGGTGCCGCTTCTGATAGAGTTTCAGCATGCAGAGGCCAGCAATCATGTACATGAACGAGGTATCTGGGTAGGAACAGGCTGTGAGCTGCAGAGGCACCACAGGGACCCCAAACACAACGCCCAGCCCAGATAATGAGGAGCTTTGGAATGCTCCCTGAAGTTAAGGACAACTTAGTGTGAGGGTCTCAGTATACGAACACCCGGAAGTTAGGGCGCGTTTCCTGAGTTTCTCAGGGTTTCTGTAGGGATGATTGGAAAGGAGGCAGCACAGCTAACTTCTAGGATGGAGCCGCTCTCGGAAGCCAGCCTCCGAGAGCTGGTGACCTAAAAGCTGGTGACCTGGGAGAGCAGACTCAGCCACACAAGAGGCAGCACTCACCGAACTGGAAGTTGGTATAGTTGGGGCAGACATGGTAACAGGCACTAAGGAGACCCTCCATCATCAGTGCAGTGCCCATGGCATAAAACAGACCAAAGTGTTTGGGGATCCCACACTCCTGTGGGGAGAAAGGGAAGGAGGAGAAGTACAAGTGACGTGGGAAGAGAAGGGTCCTGAGAGGGGACTCGGGGGCATGGAGGAGGGAAAAGACTGTGCGCTGTGGTGAGTGGGTAGCAGAGAGGGTAGGACAAGCCAGGACAGACCTGGGCAGGGCAGAACAAGGTGGGACAGGATAAAACAGCTGAGCAGGGATGGAGTACACGGGGAAGGGCAAGCGTAGATAGGGGAGAGCAGAAGGCAGAGGAGGGTAGAGCAGAACCCATCAGTGCAGGGCGAAGCAGACCTGGGCAGGGCAGAGCAGGGCAGGGCAGGGCAAGGCAGGGCTGGGCAGGGCAGGGCAGGGCAGGGCAGGGCAGGGCAGGTCAGGGCAGAGCAGGGCAGGGCAGGGCAGGGCTGGGCAGGGCAGGGCAGGGCTGGGCAGGGCTGGGCTGGGCAGGGCTGGGCTGGGCTGGGCTGGACAGGGCTGGGCAGGGCTGGGCAGAGCAGGGCTGGGCAGGTCAGGGCTGGGCAGGGCTGGGCAGTGCAGGGCAGGGCAGGGCAGGGCATTGTGGGGCTAGATGGAGCAGAGCTGGACTGGACGAGGAGGTCCAGATGGAGGCCGTGGTGGGCAGTGGCTGGCTTACCAGAGCGTAGAGGTCGTTTCGCAGCAGGGCCCGGTTATGGTTGATCTCCCGCTGCAGGATGATGAGCAGGAAGAGCAGCCCCAGCAGGATGTACCCCAGGTTACTGAGGATGTTGTTGAAGGCGCTAGAAGGGACCAGACAGGCTTAGCTGAGATGAGGGCCCTCGTGCCCTTCCTTTCTTCTGCCCAACAGGCTTCACAAAGCTCCGCCCTACCTACTCTACCCACCCCTGGGCCTCCAACACAATCCCCACCTGAGGTTGCCCAGCGGGTGGGCACAGAGGAAGTTGTAGTAGCAGATGTCCTGGTTCCCTGTGACATTCACCACCTGTGTGTGTATAGGGGGGCGGAGTGTAGCTATTAACATGCCTGACTCAGCAGGGAGCCCCTGCCACACACCCTGGGTCCAACTGGCAAAACAAGAGCAGAGCCAGCATGGCTCAAGTGTGTACACGGTACCCAGGCCGGCACTCCTTACACTTCTAAGGTGGCACGGATGCCATCGTCCTCGTTATAGATACAATGACTGAAAATTCCAGAAGTCCCTGCCTTGCAGTAAGGGGAGGGAAGTCACATGGATAAAGTCCTGTGACCTCTTGTTTTGTAGGCCCCACCCTGACTTCATGCTGCCCCCAATCCGCAGATGAAGAAACTGGAGCTCAAAAGCCCAGGGCCTCACAGCCAAAACAGAGTTGGGATTTGAAAGCTACTCCCACAGCCTATGACCTATGCTCACTGCAGAGTCTCTGCCTGCGGTGGCACTGCAGGCTAAAGCAGAGTTACAGACCAAGAACATCCGCCCCTCGCCATCTCGTCACCCACCCCTCGCCATCTCGTCACCCACCCCTCACCCTCTCACCGTCTGGTAGGTGATCACCAGCTGCACCACAGGAAGTGCGTAGAAGACGGCAATGGTGGCTATGTTCCTGAGGGAGAAGGTAAGGTTGGCAGGACCTGAGGAGTCGCCCTCTGCAGTAACAGGCGTGCCCGTCTGTGTAGCCCACTCACCAGAAGTAAATCTGGTACTTTTTCCGCAAAACACGTTTGTCCTTTCGTGCCAGATCGGCCACACAGAGGTATTGCTGAGGAGAAGCAGGAATGAGCCTCGCTGAACCCCTGATCCCCAGGTTAGGCAGACCAGTGGGCTTCCCTGCGACGAGCCAGAACTCAGGGGACAGAGTTCTGAGACTCCACATTTCTGTGGTTAAGTAATGCCAAGAGGATCTGTTCAACTAGTCCAGATGTCCCCAGGCCAATTTCTCCTGGAGTCTATCCTGCCTGTCCCATATCAGCTCTTTTCCCTCTGCTTTGCAAACCCAGCCCAGAGATACGCTGGGGGAGCTGCACAGAGTCCCTTCCTCCAGAACCATCTGGGCAGGGCAGGGCAGGGCCAGGCTCTATGCCACACCTTGGTTCGAATGACGTTTTTGTCTGAGTCGATGTCAGTCAGTGTGTCATAGTCATCCTCTTCCACGGAGCTCATGGAGTCCAGTCGTGGCCGTGGGCCCACTGCGTCAAAGGGGCGGTCTAGGAGTGACAAAGGAAAAGGGCTTGGGCCGGTAGGACTGAACACTGGGTCTGCCCCCACCCATCAGAAGCAATGTCAAAATTAGTCAATAATGGGGAAAAGGCGAATTGTGGGCCAGAGCTCAGAGCAGTAGGGCAGGTGGCGCAGGTGCTGGCAGGAAACGCACTTCTAACTCAGTGGGAACTGGTAGGGAGCTCTGCCAGGACCAGGGAGCAGGAGCGACTCCAGCCCTGCTCCACTCCTGGCTCTGACCCCTGAGCTAGGCCTTCCAGGCCAGGACACTGAGAGAATCCCACACATACTAACGGGATTGAACTTGGCCAATCATGCAGATTAGAAGTGCCCAGTCCTGTTGGGTTCTGAGAAGAGATACCATGGCCACCCCTGAGCTAAAGCCCTAATACACAGGCAAGGGCTTGAGGGAAAAAAACACCCATCTCCTACCTCCAGAAGCCTCCTACTGTCACCTCACCTGGCCAAAGCCCCTAGAGACCAGGTGACACCCAGACCTAAGATCCCTTGGCCAGCAAAACACGGAGGGAGGATTCTGACAAGAGGACATCAAGGTGGGACACTGATGGTGGCCAGTGGCTATCTTTCTCAGAAGACCACGGGCACAGCTGGCGCTTGCTTGGAAAGCCATGCACTAAGCGTCTCTCTGGTCCCAGAGGCGGCCAGTTCCATGGACTGAGCCTCCTGGCAGGAATTGATTGGCAGGGCAGCCCTACCCCCTCCCCACATCTACCCATGGCAATGCACAGCTGCCGCATCTGGCCAGAGGGAAGGCGCCGCTTGAACTGGTCGTGTCCTTGAAAGGAAAGGGAAAGTTACAGGGGAACTGAGGCCATGGAGCAGAGAGGAAGACGGGGCAGAAGAGCAGCCCTTCCCTGGTTCCAGCATATGGCAGAGAGGCAACCGCCCACCAGGAAATTCCACCTAGTCAACAGCAGCCCTGAGGTACATACCCCCTGCCTGGCCCACTCACCCTGGTAACTGTAGGAGAGGTCCCCTGAACCTGTGCTTTCAACCAACCCGTCAGTGGATCCGGAACCATTTTCTGCAGGCAGGAATGGGTGGTGAGGCAGGTAGGAGTGACCTCAGGACAAGAGACTCTAGGATCTGCTCCTAAAGACTTCGGGGCAGCTTCGAGGGCACAGCCATCAGGAGTGGCAGCACAGGGAGCTGTGGCTGGGAATGGGCAAATACATGACTGAAACGTACCAAAGGAGCCATAGTTGTAACCCTCAAAAGGGGCACTGCCAGGAAACGAATCAGCCAAGACCCGAGGGTGACCTGGAATGAGAAGGCCCGTGAGCAAAGGAAGGCCTACAGCCAGGGGGAGAGGGAAAGGAGAACCCGGGAGAGACAGCCAGAGGAGCCATGCCAGCAGTAAGAGAAAACACAGATCCCCAAACCCACCGAACCCTCACAATTATGTCACTCCAAGCAAGTGTGCCACCCTGTGTTCTCCTAGAAGAGGGGACAACCAGACATGGTGGCTCATGCTTGTAACCCTAGCACTCTCGCCTGGCTAAGACAGGAAGATATTTAGGCCAGTTTGGGCTACATACTCAGTTTCAAGCTACCCTGGACTATGAGATCTTGTGTAAAAATTTTAATTAGGACAAAAAAAAAAACCTAAAAAAAACAAAACAAAAAAAAAATAAAAATGGAAGGAAGATGGTCAAGGAAATAACACGTCTAAGCCATCAAAGAAGATGGTATCTGTGCCCAGGTCCCTCCCTCGGAAGCTCCTGTGCTTCACTTTCCTCCCCTAGACAGCAGCTCCTCTGCCCACAGCACCTGGAGCTTACCAAGGAGAGAAGCTGAGAGAGAGGTCCAAGCAGAAGGGAGGGCAGAGAGAAGTGATGGAAGAAAAAGAGAGAATTGGAAGTTAACAACCTGAGGCTGAGACACCAGTGCGGGCACAGGACAGTTTCCAGGTATCTATGGAGGGGTGAACCAGGGCCCCAGCCTGGTTCCACTTGTGAAATGTTACTCCTACGCTGAACACAGAGAAGCCACCAAGCCACCCTCCTCACCATTCCCCCTCCCATCCCTGCTCCCACCTCCCCACAACAGATCCAGCCAACCCGGTCCCTGGAGATACCACTTTCTGGGCAGGCTCGGTCTATGGTCAGCAGCAAAGTCTTCTTTCTTTGCCTACAGGAATTCAGAGGACAACTGAGGCAGGATGAGGACTCACCCTAGGCTAGGCTAACCTTCCTTCTATCCTCTCTACCCATCCTGATCCTGGGTTTCTCCGGCCCCAGGAGTAACAGGGTGTTCCCAGCTTGGGAAGAAGCAATGACATGAGCCAGTCTTGCAAAGAAATGGTTCACGGATCACAGATCCCAACAAGTTCCTGTCTTGTAGTTACCTTGAGACAAGAACAGGTCACCCTGGGCCAGCTGGGACTCCACTACACTCTCTCTCATGCCTCCAGCCCCCACCCCCACCCCCACCCCACCCCCGCCCCAAAGCAGGCAACAGCCCAGTAGTTCTGTCTCACCTCCAGTTCTCCCAACAGGCCAGCAGCACAGTCAGCAGGTAGAAGGACAGGAATATGCCCAGGCAAAAGAGCATTCCACCAACATAGGCCTCAGCTACAGGGAGGGAAACGAGGTGAGTGTGGCGAGAACACAGCAGTCCTCCCCACACTGCTGCTGGATGCCCAGGGACCTCTGAGATCTGGCTCTTCCTCCCCTGAAGCCAATGCCCAGCCAGTATGAACATATGTCTATGGCTCAACACACCAGACTCTGGCATGAGTCTACCTGCTCATGGCGTTTCCTAAGGCTTCCTCTCCTACCTGTAGTCAACTCAATGTTGATCTAAGCTTCAAACTACTGCTCAGAGACGGTGCAATCGACAGACCCACAGTGACCTGGCCTTTGCTCATCCCAGCTCTCTGTACCCTCCTGGCCCCCTCCTTCCTAAGAAGGATACTGCTAGCACACACCAGGGCTCAGTAAGTACCGAGTCCCCCTTCTAGTGTGTGTTGGGTTTATAATCGCATGTTTAAGATGCATTTATTTTTACTTTTTGTGTGTGAGTACTCTGCCTGCGTGTGTCTATGTGTGCCACCCACAGGTGCCTGTAGAAGGCAAAGTATCAGGTCCCTTGGAACCAGAGTTACAGGTGACTTGTGAGCTGCCACGTGGGTGCTGTGGAATAACACTGGGGTCCTCTGAAAAAAAGTCACCCAGTGTTCTTAACAGGGGAGCCATTTCTCCAGCCCTCCTCGCTTGTTACTGTTACTTATTTTGTTGTTTTGAAACAAGGTCTCATAGTCAAACTGGCTTTGACCTCACGATATAATGAAGGGTGAGTCTGGGCTACTGATCTTGTCTTTACCTCCCAACGCTGGGATTAAAGAGGATGGGCCACTGTGCCCCGCTCCTTATCCTCATCTTAAGAGTCCACAGTTTAGAAAGGACTCCACTGAAAAATTCAATAGACATTGCTTAGCACTGACTAGGGGCCCCCAATACTCTAATTCTGGGCTAAGCCTCACAACCGAATGTATCTAACGGGATAGCTTTTACTATTTCTGTCACAGAGACAGGGGACAGAGATTCCTCTGCTAAGAGGCAGGGTATGAATGAGAACTTGCTCATCAGTTTGGCCACGGACCCTGTCCCATATTACACAGGGATCCACCTTGTGAATTTCTCTGGCTGGAAGCCTGCTTTCTGCTGTCCCCAAGCCTGTTGGGTAGAAGAGTCCTCACCACCCCTCCCATTCCAAGAACAGCTGCTTTCTTGGGTCTGAGAGGAAGCCTCAGGTGCCTCAGACTTACATGAGACAGCCTGAGAGACCAGCACTGACAGGGTTTTCTGACGGTGCCCTTGATCCACTGGTTCGTCTGGAAGTAAATTGTCAAAGTGGAAAAGAAGTCATTGCTGGGAGCTGAGCTAATGGAACCAGCCTGGAGAGTCCCAGGGGATCCACCAACAGCCACATGGTCCCTTCTATCTTCTGGGAAGCCAGTGAGCCTGACCCATCCCTAGCCAGTACAGGAAACTTACCTTCCACAAAAGGGTAGAAGGGCAAAGACCCCCCGCAGGCCTGGTCCTCAGTCTTCACCACGACCACCACATAAAAGCTGTTACTGGGGAAGTCTTTCCGCTGCAGGAGGGGGAGGAGGAGGAAGAAGAAGAAGAGGAGGAGGAGGAAAAACAAGAAGAGGAAGAGGAAGAGGAGGAGGAGGAGGAGGAGGAAGAAAAGGAAGAGGAGGAGGAAGAGGAGGAGGATCATCACTGTTGCAGTCTTTTTTTTTTTTTTTTTTTTTTTTTTGGTTTTTCGAGACAGGGTTTCTCTGTATAGCCCTGGCTGTCCTGGAACTCACTCTGTAGACCAGGCTGGCCTTGAACTCAGAAATCCGCCTGCCTCTGCCTCCCAAGTGCTGGGATTAAAGGCGTGCGCCACCACTGCCCGGCTGGCTCGTTGCAATCTTTCTGAATACTTTGGACCAGAAGCTACAAGCCTCTTTCTAGAGATAGTTTTACCCAATCCTTGCACAGATCCCCTGCCTCACACTTCTATGATGCTAACGATCTAACACATAGCCTCTCACCTGCCAGGCAAGTGCTCTACCACTGAGCTGCACCCATGGGAGCGGTGCTGCCACTGTCCTCAAACACACCTTGAGAAGTTAGGGTCAGGGCCCAAACCCATGGGTATTTGGGCTACAGCCTGGGGAACAAACGAGCATGTATGCGGTCCACACGGCTTGTCCTGGGCACCAGCTAGAGATGGCTCTACTCACATACACCAGAGAACACAGGATGGGGGGTGGTATAAGCTCAAGACACAGTAAAAGTTTTCTGAATACATCGAAAAATATAACCGAAAAACATTCAGAATAAAATGCACACTGCACCGGGCAGTGGTGGCACACACCTTTAATCCCAGCACTTGGGAGGCAGAGGCAGGCGGATTTCTGAGTTCGAGGCCAGCCTGGTCTACAGAGTGAGTTCCAGGACAGCCAGGGCTACACAGAGAAACCCTGTCTCGAAAAACCAAAAATAAAATAAAATAAAATAGAATAGAATGCACACTGCATCCGAGATGCTTCTAAAAGCACTCAGCCATGTTGATTATATGAGGTGAAGATGTCACCTCAGCCCTGGCTCTGAACACACATGTGCTCTTGTACCATACACACCGTCACAGTGCAAGAAGCCAAGGAACACTGTCTGAAACTCAGCTTAGGGCTGAAACACGGTGTGTTCGCTGCACACCCCAAGTTTTCTGCTCTCATAGAAACATTCAGTCATGGAAAAAAAAGACTTTTGGTATTTTCCTATTGCCCTAGTTTATCGCAAGGATAAACTCAGGGCACCTTGGGTCTTCCTAGATTGTGTTAGGTAAGGACGTTTGATTTAAATTATTGTTTTGACGTGCTTTATAAAGACTCAATGAGTTTTGACTTAGGATCAGGACAAGATTTTTAACAATTTCTTTTTTAAAAATATAGAACGCCTCACAAATTTGCACATCATCTCTGCACAGGGGCCATTCGTACTTCAGTACTTGTGTTGCTGAAGTGAGAAGAGTTTCTAAGATGTCCCTAAATGCACTTCTGCCGCATGGTATCATGCATGATTGCCAAGTGGCACCCTCAACCTTGATAATTATAAAACAAAACATTGGTCCCTGAGTAAATCTCCGCTGCTCTCTTATAGCGTATCTGGTCTGTACCTCCCTGCTATGTCTGAGTAAAATCCCTTGCTGATTAAAAAACAAAACAAAAAAAAATTAAGAGCCAATGAGATGGCTTAGTGGAGAAAAGTTTCTCAGGCACGAAGGAGGTCACCGTGAAAGTTTAAGAAGGCCTCTCGTCAGGCAGGAATGAGAGGGACAACGACAGAGTGTGGGACACCATCTACTTCAACAGACAGCCCCGTCCATCCCTCAGAAGGGCGTGTGCACTTCCTACCTGCACAGTGATGGCTGCCTTCTTAGTCATAGTCTGGTACATGCCGATGAAGGCTACATTGTTGTCCAGATCATAGACAGGGCACTGAGGAGGAAGGAAGAAAGAGACAGATGGATGGGGAACTGGGCCTTGTCCCCTTTTCTAATGCCCCAACTACTTTCTGGTGGAGGATAAAATGACACACTGCTCACCAGGACATCCTGGATGGAGATGACTGAGCAGGGGAAGGCCTTCTTGGAGGTCACCTTGACGATGACAGAGTCCACGCCATCAGGAAACTCATATTTGAAGTACTGAGAACATAGAAGGGTAGGGAGAGTGCCACCTCAGGAGGATGCTCTCTCTGCCCCTCTGAAGGGACCGGTCTCCTACAAGGGAGGTTGCAGAATCTTCTTGGCTCAGACAATGAAGCTATCTGGGGAGAAGAGCCTTGACCATGAGCAGGCCAGTCCTGCATGTCCCTGAGCACTGATATCCTGGGTACACAGGACAGTGCCTAAGAGGGAGAGTAGGAAAGAGAGCAAGCAGACCCTGTCACTGTACTGCCCCTGCCTGCCTATCCATACGGAGCTCCAAGAGTCCCACCCTAGAGACAGGATGAATTTGCTAGTCCTAGCAATCCGTACCTACTCCTGCTCTCATGTTCAAATCTCCCCCGATTTCCTTTCTGCTACTGTTGCTATCTTGAGACAAGGTTTCTCTATGTAGCCTTGGCTGGTTTGAATGTAGAAATCCACCTTCCTCTGACTTGTTAGGACCATGCCAGGGTAAGAAAACCCATTTTGACAAGAGATTTTACCTGGGGCTGGGCTGCCGTGGTATTGAAGGTAAAGAGCTCTCCAGTCCTACGGGGAAGAGAAGAAGCCCACAATCACTGTCAACACTTGGAAAGAAGGCTGGGGCTATATGGTCCCTTCTCTCTTACCCTCAATACCTGAGCACAAAATTGTCCACACGGTTGACTCGGAGCTGGTAAGTGGTATTGACTGGTGACAAGGTAGACACATCCACATAGAAAAACTGGATCTCAGACTCATTCTTGGTGGGGGGCTGACACAGAGTTCGTTCAACTTTTTGGTAGAGGTACTTACGCTGATATCTATGGCCCAAGACAAGGAGGATGTGACTAGTCCCGGCCAGCCTGAGTTCTTCCTATCAGGTCCCCAGACCTCTCATTCCCTGGGTTGACAAAGTTACCCTCCTGCCACTGGGCTCAGGGACAAGGGTTCCCTGGGTGAGGGTCTCTGAAAACCTGGCAAAGCTGCCCCTCTCCCTGCACCCCCAGGTCCTACTCACAGCCCTCGCAGGATTAGGGGCACCTGGAAGGACACAACAGCCTCCTTCTGGCGGACCACGAACAGCAAAGGCGCCCCCTTCTGTTTGTTCAGGACATTCACAGACACTCGCACGCCCTCGGTCTGCAGAGAAGGAAACACCCTCCCTCAAACTCAGACCGATGTTCCTCAAACACTTGACTCTACAGACTGCATGCTGAGTTCTGCCCTATGCTATCCGTCCTGGCCAGCCAGAACACTATCTGTGCTTCTCCTTGTAAGGGATACAGGCCTCGTTTTTTAGAAGGGACTGATTGTCAGGTCTGAGGCTTGAAGAAGCTCACTCTTGGAAGACCTGGGTTTGTAGAGTAGATCCCAGGCAACAGCAGGATATGCAGCAAAGACCTTAGAAGGTTCCAGGATAGCCCACAAGCACACACATGGATATATACACGTGTATACAGATGTTCCTGTGTACGCACTGACACAGGAGAGCAAGAAGTGCCCTCAATCTTCTTCCTCGTGAATTAGGAAACCAGCAAGAAGCTCCGGTTCCACTACTACTCTGGAGGCCAGAGGCCTGCAGGGAGGGGTGTAAAGGAACTGTGTCGAAACACAAGTTGTCTCTCTAGTTCTGACCAAGGGCCAAGCTGTGAAGTGACTTTGGAACCTCAATCCACCCCGTCTTAAAAAAAAAAAAAAAATCCCACCTTCTGCTTTGGACAAAGCTACACAAGATAGTGGGAGTTTAAAAGCGAACAAATCACAACTGCAGACTAATTACGAGGCCGCTGAAACCAAACCTAGGGGTAACGTTTCCCTAAGGGGTAGGTGCCACTTCTGGGATGATCCTGGATATGGGACTGAAAGGGAGATCAAACTTCAAGGAATAGAACCTGATGGTAGATCGTGGCCTGCCAGAAACCAAACTCCTTTCCTTTCCCTCCCAAAGAAAGTCTCAGATGCCTCCTCTGAAACTCCAGTGCTTCCCAGTCAATCCAGATCGGGCCTTGGAGAAAAAGCAAGAGAGCTAGGCAGGGAGTCACACAGCCAGGCAGCAAGGATCTCCCAGACCGTGCTCTGCCTGGGCCCAGATCCACCAGCCTTCTACTTTCACTACTGGGGAGAAATGAGTAAGAAGTCGGAGATAGTTCTGCCTTAGAAACAAACTCCCTTTTCTCTTGCCTCTCAGCTTGTGAGGACCTTATCTTGTCACCTTCAACTTACAAGGCCAGCTGGCTTTCTGAGGCAAGGAGGTCGGTCTCCTTCACCTCCCTGTGACGTTGTGACAGAGCTTTTCAGTTCTAAGTTGGCCCCATCTGGAGTTGTCTGAGCACGCAAGGCTGGAAGCCTGTTTTCCCCTCACCCCGACCTCACAGAGCTGCCAGATTGAGAGCCAGGTCACAGACCAGTCCCCATCACAGCTGGTGGCAGGGGACTTCCCAAGCTGCCCAGCTGGAACTGCAGGGAATGCTGGTGGAAACCAGGTCTTGCCAAAGGGAGGGCGGCTCAGAGGCTGGCGGAGAGGGCAGGGGCAGCATCAAGTCCAGGCCAGGCGCCCACCCTCTCGGCCGCCCGTGGGGTCCCGCGCTCACCCGGTTGCGGGTCACGGTGTGGTTGAAGGTGTAGATGTTGACCAGCTCGCTGTTGACGTCGTCCGCGTAGGTGCGCTCAAACTCCGCGTCTTTCTGCGAGACGTTCTTGGGCCCCAGAGCCCCTAGGTGGCTCTCGACGGCGGCCACCAGGAGCACGCACAAGGGCAGACGCCAGGCGATCATGGCCCGGGACGGCGGGGGCTGGCGACGGGACGGCGACCGGGCGCGTTGCGGCTCCCGCAGCAGCTTCCAGCATCTCACCGGGACCAGAACTTTAACCCCGGCCTGAGATAGGACGCGTCCCCTCCCTGGAGCCGCTCCTGGGCCTCGCGCGGACCCCGGCTCGCGTGGGTGGCACCGCGACCCGCAACCCCAGCCCGGCCCAGCCCGGCTGGAGACCCGGTGTCCGCTCGCGCCCGGAGAGCCGAGGCGGCGGTGGCCCTGGCCCGGAGGCTTCCCGGACGCGGGCCCTTTAAGGGCGGCGGACGCGGCGCAGAACTCGGGGCCACCAGGCGCCGCGCCGCGGTAAACAGCGGGCTGCGCCCGCCCGCTGACGTCATGGGAAACCGACGCGGATTTAAAGGGCCAGGCCGCCTCTAACTGCTTCCCACGCAGCCATCGCCGCCTCCTTCCTTCGCCGCCCTATGAGCATCTAGAGTGAGTTTTCCACGAAGGATCACTACGTATTGGATTCTTGATTTTGTGGTCCGCGCTTTTTGGCTTTTTGAGACGGGGGCTCCCATAACCCAGGCTGGCCTGGAACTGGTCGTGTAAATTTGGTGAGTCTTGAACTCGGGCTCCTCCTCCCACATCTACTGCTTGGTGTAGACATTACTGGCGAGATTCACAGTGCTCAGTAAGTGCTGGGTCTTTTTGACAGATGATCTCTTTGCTTAAGCAGGAATTGTTTCCCCAAGTCACTACTCCAGCTTCATTTTTAACCCCTCATTGGTTCCTAAAAACCGAAGAAGCGCCTCCCCACTGAATGCAGCTCAGCTGCCGTTCCCCTCTCACGGTAGACGGGATAACCCTAACCAAGACGCTATAACCAGGATGCCTTCCAACCTGTGAGCTCTACCCCTACTCTGCAGAGGCTGCTTTGTTTGTTTGAACAAAGCTCATGGAAAGATTCTGACCTTTAGTTGTCAATTGGCAAAACCTTTTTGAGGAAATAGTTTGGCTTAGGCTTAAAAGAGCTTTATTACCCTTCAACCCAGTCATTCCACTCCGAATAAGAAATACAAATAAAATGTGTGGGCAGCAATTTGCATCCCTGTGATCTTGATAAAGCTCAAAGGAAACTGCTTGTTCACAGTGAAAGAAGAGGTGGTCACTATCCACTACGATCAAGTCAACCAAATAGATTCTTACATCGAAGGGACAACTAGGGAGGTTATTCAGGAATGACACTATATAAGTGGTCTATAATCCAGATTTCAGAAATAAACAGAAAAATGTGCACAAGAACCAAGCTGAGATGGCTAAAGGGAAAGGGCTCTTGCCATGTAAAGGCCTGGCCCGAGTTCTACACCGGGTAGGAGAGAACTAACTCCACAAATTTGTTCTCTGACTTCCACAGACACCTGACAACATGTGCTTGCACACGTCACACACAGACACACAAACAATAAATGAAATTTCTTTTCTTTTTTTTTTTTTTTTTTTTTTTTTTGGTTTTTCAAGACAGGGTTTCTCTGTGTAGCCCTGGCTGTCCTGGAACTCACTCTGTAGACAAGGCTGGCCTCAACTCAGAAATCCACCTGCCTCTGCCTCCCAAGTACTGGGGTACTGGGGTTAAAGGCGTGCGGCACCACAACCTGGCTCAAATATTTTTTTTTTTTTTAATGTTCAAAGGGTAGATGAAATGTCTCAGTGGGTGCAGTTACCACGATTCCTGATGACCACCCCTGGGACCCAAAAGGCAGAAGAGGGGAAAAACCTGACTCTGCAAGTTGTCATCTGACCTCCACAGGCATGCTGTAGCACATGTACACAGCACATATATACAAGTAAATAAAGGTAGTTACAACAAACAAACAAACAAACAAACACACACACAAAGAAGGCCTTGGGTTCAATCCTGTTAGGAAAAGTATGGGCTCAGAAAGCCCCAAAACAAGTTCTCAGCACAAAGGAAGATTTATTTGCCACAGATGGACAGAAGGCAGGGAATAAGAGACAAAGCCAGGGCACAGGATGAGGGAGCAGAGGAAGGGGTATTTGTCTGAGGACAAAGGACTGCCTCTGGCTATAGAGGAGACAAACATGGCACATAGGAAAATGATGGTTTATAAAGGTAAAATGTGTTGTGTTAGGATCAGGCATTTACTTTTAATTGGACATGTTAGTTAGGTGAACCAAAGGGGGCTTTTGATTGCTGGACTTCAACACTTGGATAGCTGGGCCTTGGTGGTCAGCCTCAAGAGGAGGGATTGGCCAAATAAGGGAACAGACCTGGGGGGGTGGGGGGGAAGGGCTACCTTTAGGGATGTATACTCTGAAAGACTGAGAGAATGTGGGAGAAGGACAAGGCCTGCCAGAGCCACATTCACCAAGCTCGATCGAGCTGGCCAGAGGCCCTTCAAACCTCCACTATCATAAGTAAAGAGAGAACTTGCTACAATTATATGTATTGTATTTTTGTAGACAATTTTTGGGTTTAAAAGAAACTATGGCCAACCCTGAAACTGTCAGATGTCCTTCCTGGAGCATATAGAGGCTAGTACCCCCTTTCTCAAAGCACTAGCCATTGACAAGATTAGAGCAGTCTGGGCTTCTGGTACTGTCTTCTACAGAGACATTCTTCCAACTACCAGCTATAAATATTTATTCATTCCCACACATATTAATAAGTACCTACTATGCCCTCTTCTAAATTAATGGGTAAAAAGCAGAATTAGAGCTGGCCTGTTCAAGGACAGCATGTTTGAAGAAGTAGACCACAGCAACAAATCCCAGCTACTTGGGAGGCTGAGGCATAGGAATTCCAAGTACGGGTTAGCCTGGGTGACAAGGTCCTATAGCAGCAACAGGACATTTGTCATCATACGGATGGGTCAAGCCCAGAAAGTTCATTAGTAGCTCGCCATGCCCATCCTTTATGGGAGAGGGGAGGGATTCCGGGTTAGAATTAAGTCTGGGGGTTAACCATGTGTTCTGCTACTAGGCTGAGACCCCAGCCCCCGCTCCTAGGTTTGCAAGTTGTTTCAGTCCTCATTCCAGCACATCTCAACAAAGCCTGGGTCTGTGGGCCCTCAGATGACAAGAGCTACTTCACAGTAAGCTCTCCAAGCAGCTGGCGTCCCACCTAGATAACTAGAAAGGGTTCCAAGTGCCAATTTGGCCTCACTTTCTCTCCCTGCTCATCTTGCCAGGAAATACTCAGAAACTCCAAGAAACACTCTGACACTGCGCCCGCCCGGGTGCTTGCTTAATAGCCTGTTCTCATTTAAATTATAGTATACCAGAACTCTCCCTGGGGCCTTTGAGGAACATAACCTTCAAGATCAGTCTCTGTGACAGACCAGCTGGTGTTTTAACTGGACTAACTCAGGCTGTGAGTGGAGAGCAAGAAGCAGCATTCTAAATGTGACCCTTGGATGAGTACCAGGCTTGGTGGGTCACGACAATACTCATTCAGGCAGAAGTAAGATCATGAACTCAGGGGTATACTGGGTTACAGAGTAAAACACTTAAAAATCACTAAGAAATGCCCATCTGGGGCTGAGCACGGATATCTGCACATTAACACAGATTAAGAGCTCCTGCAACAAAGTTGGAGAATGCCTCTGGGATACACAACTGTGAAGTATCCGCATTCCTGCTTGGTTTCTTTCTTCTATTAGCCTGTTTTGGGGAGGGAGGGTGGGCAGCTAGGAGGCATGCTGAGACAGGGTCTCTCTATGGAACCCTGGCTGGCTTAACACCCATTCTGCAGGTTAGACTGTCCTCAAATACACAGTAGTCGTTCTGTCTCAGCCTTTCAAAACGCTGGGATTCCAGACTCTTGCCACCACACTTGACTCTTTCAGAAGAGATCTTTCCCTTGGTTAAGGTTTCAAGGGCTTAACCTCTGAATGGGCAAGAGCCTGGCTACTCACACCCTGGACAAGGGCAGCAAGCCCAAACTTTCCTCTGCTTCTGCCTTTCCCTCTAGGGAGCGAATGTTATGAATGGGTCCTTTCTGAAGTCTGTAGGAGAGAAGGCCAGCTTGTCAGCTATATAGCAGTCAGCATAAAAGGCAGGGCTGGGTCTCAAAGCCAGACTTGTGGCCCCACAGAGAAGCTCAGGAAAGGGCTCTGGCCTTCTATGCAAGTCCAGCTATTGCAGTTTCTGCCATATTAACAAGAAAAGCTCAGCCCTGCCAGGGATGGTGATATATACCTGTAATCCCAGCCTTGAAAGGTAAAGCAAGGAGTTCAAGGCTAGCCTTAGTGACAAGACCCAGTCTCTAAAAACCAAAACCAAACCAATAAAAGCTCAGGCCAATCCTGGCCCTAAAAGTACAGTCAGAACTGCCAGGCCTAGAACATTCCTATCTCCCCGTGGGGACAGCCTTCCAGAGCTCAGAAATTCACTGGGCAGAAGAAAAGGGAGCATTCACCAGACAGCTGACCTGGTTCTCAACCTGGCTTGGCCCTGGCAGATGGACTAACTGAATACAAGCAGGTACATAACTTAGAACACTAAGGGAAAGCCAGCAGTTATGCCTATGGATGGTTGGCAAAATAAAAACAGACTTTGGAATTGAGTAATGGTATAACTTTAACCCAGAGAGAAAGGTTGCAAAATCAAGCCTGTGAAGGAAGCACATTCCAAGTTCCCTGTTTCCATGTGACTATGAGAAGGGTTGGCCTTGTCTATCAACTTGACACAGGCTAGAGTCATCAGAGAGGAAGGAGCCTCAGTTGAGGAACCACCTCCATGAGATTCAGCTGTAAGGCATTTTCTCAATTAGTGATCAACAGGGGAGGGCCCAGCTCACTGTGGACGGTGCTACCGCTTGGGCTGGTGGTAATGACTGAGTTCTATAAGAAAGCAGGCTGAGCAGGTCATGAGAGAGTAAGCAACACCCTCAATGGCCTCTACAACAGCTCTTACCTACAGGTTCCAGCCCCTATTGATGAACTGTGATCTGGAAGTATAAGCTGAATAAACCCTTTCTTCTCCAACTTGCTTTTCAAGGTCCTCGTGTTTTGTCACAGCAATAGAAAAGTTGGTACCAGAGACTGCGGTATTGCTGTGATAGAGCTGACCGTTGATTTTGTTGGGAGGAATGTTTAGGGACTTTGGATTAGTAAAGCAGCAGAATGTTTAAAGTGGGGCTTAATA